CGGCCGTGATTTGGCGCAGGGCAAGGTGGGAGCGGGTGCGGGGCCGGGCAGCGGGCAGGCAGTGCAGCACACAGGCACTTTGTGTTTGGCCGGGGTGGGCGGAAGTCAGGGCGTTGGATCTGAATGCTAAAGTGTGTTGTTCAGGGGCCGATAAAGGCCCCATTGTATGTAAATAGTTTATAAAGCAGCATATGACTTCCAGTGCAGGGCAGTGGCGGATAGAGACGAGGGCAGGCGGAGCAGAGCTCTCCTGCGGGGAGACATGAGACCTTAGAAGGGGCCGTTGGGGGCAGCTCTCGCAGGAACCTTCCTCACCGGCAGGTACGCGCCGCCCCGGGGACCCTCCCCACCGTGGGTGGCCAGAGGGCAGGTCCCGGCCTCCCAGCCCGGTGCTCCGGGTGGGAAGTGGCTACCGGGGCTGCTTGGTGGCCCCCGAGGGGCAGGGGGGTCTGTGGGGTTGCCCCATGCTCCCCAGAGTAGGGTGGCAATGCGTGGCTGCACGGGGCTGGGGGTCCCTGCAGGAGCGGGGCTGGGGGACCCCCCAGCTCGGGGCTCCCCAGCCCCGCTCCTGCAGGGAAAGGGGGGACAAGGGCAGGGAGGTGCTGGTGCAGAGGAGCCCTTGGATGGAGCTCCTCGGCTCCATCCCTGGCCAGAGAGCTGGGTGCAGATTGGGGTCCCTGTGGAGGTGGTGGGAGCTTCACCCACATCCTCCGCAGCAGCTATGGGTCAGGATGCCCGTGCCAGTGTGGGGCGGCAGGGCACGAGCAGCCGGCGCTGCAGGGCTGACCCATCTCCTGCCAAAATGCTGCCCTGAGCCGTGTTGGCAGCGGGGGCCACCCCGCCGTCCGTCCGTCCTGCTGTCCTCCTACTAGGGCCGCGGCAGCTGGTTGCTCCTGGGGTTGCTGCCACCAGGGCTGGAACGCGGTGGCTCTCAGCCAGGGGGACCCTTCCTTCCTGCTCTTAACCCCCGTCTCTCACTGCTCGCTCCTGCAGACGTGAGGAACGATGAACTGGGCTGGCCTCTACACGGTGCTGAGCGGGGTGAACCGCCACTCCACCGCCATCGGGCGCATCTGGCTCTCCGTGATCTTCATCTTCCGGATAATGGTGCTGGTGGTGGCAGCCGAGAGCGTCTGGGGGGATGAGAAATCTGCCTTCACCTGCAACACGCAACAACCCGGCTGCAACAGCGTCTGCTACGACCACTTCTTCCCCATCTCCCACATCCGCCTGTGGGCCCTGCAGCTCATCCTGGTCACCACCCCAGCCCTCCTCGTGGCCATGCACGTGGCCTACCAGCAGCACCAGGAGAAGAAGCTGCTGCTGATGACGGGGCACGGAGACCCCAAGCACATGGAGGAGGTGAAGAAGCACAAGATGCGCATATCAGGTTCGCTGTGGTGGACATACGTCTGCAGCGTGGTCTTCAGGCTGGTCTTTGAGGCCGTGTTCATGTACATCTTCTACATGCTCTACCCGGGCTACCAGATGGTACGGCTGGTCAAGTGCGAGGCTTATCCCTGCCCCAACACCGTCGACTGCTTCATCTCCCGGCCCACCGAGAAGACCATCTTCACCGTCTTCATGCTGGTCACCTCCAGCATCTGCATCGTCCTCAACATGGCGGAGCTGGTCTACCTGGTGGTGCGGGCCTGTGCCCGCCGTGGCCAGCACAACTCCAACCCCACGTCGGGGAAAGGCTCCTTCTACGGCCACAAGCTCTCTGAGTACAAGCAGAACGAGATCAACCAGCTGCTGACAGAGCAGGACGGCTCCCTCAAGGACATGCTGCGCCGCAACCCTGGGCTGCAGGAGAAGGGTGACCGCTGCTCCGCCTGCTAGGGCCAGCGCCGCAGGGGGGCCAGCCCTTGCCCCCTCCCCACGGCCCTGTGCTGTGCCTGCCCCACGGAGAGCATCCCTCAGGCGCCGGTTCGGCCCTCCCGGAGGGCCAGGAGGGCAACTTGGGCCATTAAACCTCCGTTCTCAGGCGCTGCCTCCCTCCTTTCTGCTCTGGCCGGGACGTGCCGGGGGCTGGGGTGCTAGCGTCGGGTGCCCACCCTGCCCCAGGTGAGTGCCACCGGTGGGGGCTGCAGTGCCCGGGCTGGGCTGGGGCTGTGGCCACAGCACCCTGGCAGCCAGCAGGCAGGAGCAGTGACCCCTGGGTGGCATTGAGCAGCGTCCAAGGGCTCGCGCTTCCCCAGCACCAGCCCCTGCAGCCCCTAATATATTTAGAAAAGTGCCCAGACCAAAAATAGAGGGAAAAATTCTCCCCAGTGGCTGTTTCATCTGCCAGTCAGAAGGGAAGCCAATGGGGCACGCAGCTGCCTCGTGCCCCCATGGCCCCGCGCCCGCCGTGGGGTGGACGGAGGGACAGACAGAGCCAGACAGACCCATCTGCACCCTGCTGAGGAGCTGGGGACCAGGAGCTGGGAAGGGACCCCGCAGCGCCCCGGCCAAGGGGAGCTGACGGCGTGGGAGCACCGGGCTCTGCCCCCCGCGCTCGCCAACGGTGAGGGGTCCCCAGGCCGGACGGCCACCGCGGTGTCCCCCACGGCACTCCCAGCGTGGCGGGGCTGCTTTCTGTCGCAGGTCTTTGCCGCCCTCCCCGTGATGGGTTAGGGGGTGCATTGGGCTGCAGGGTGGGGACAGCCCCGGGCCGGGTCCCTGCACACCCCGGGGACGGGATGGCGGCGCAGCGGGTGGTGGGGTGGCCGTGTCTGGAGGGCGGCTGTCTTGCAGGGCACCGCGGCGTGTGCCATGGGGGACTGGAGCCTGCTGGGGCGGCTGCTGGAGAGCGCCCAGGAGCACTCCACGGTGGTGGGGAAGGTCTGGCTCACCGTCCTCTTCGTCTTCCGCATCCTGGTGCTGGGGGCGGCCGCCGAGCGGGTCTGGGGCGATGAGCTGTCTGGCTTCTCCTGCGACACGCAGCAGCCCGGCTGCCAGAACGCCTGCTACGACAGCACCTTCCCCATCTCCCACCTCCGCTTCTGGGTCCTGCAGATCATCTTCGTCTCCACCCCCAGCCTCGTGTACCTGGGCCACATCCTGCACCTGGTGCATCTGGAGGAGAAGGCAGAGCAGCAGGCGGCAGCGGGGGCTGGCGGCGGGGCCGGGCAGCAGCGCCCCGGGCAGCCCCGGCGTCCTGCAGGGGACAGGCAGGGACGGGTCTGCATGCAGGGGGCCATCCTGAGGACGTACGTCTGCAACGTCGTCTTCAAGGCTCTCTTGGAAGTGGGCTTCATTGTGGGCCAGTACGCCTTGTACGGGTTCCAGCTGAAGCCCCTCTACACCTGCAGCCGCTGGCCCTGCCCCAACACTGTCAACTGCTACATCTCCCGGCCCACCGAGAAGACCATCTTCATCCTCTTCATGCTGGGGGTGGCCTGCGTGTCCCTGCTGCTCAACCTGGTGGAGATCTACCACCTGGGTCTCACCAAGTGCCGGCAGGGGCCAGGCTCCAAGTCCCGCATCCTGCCCGGTCCTGGTGTCCCCGCGGGGCCCCGCAGTGCCCACATCACCCTGCCCGTCAGCGGCAGCCCCATGGCTGCTGGCAGAGAGCCCCACGGCCTGGCACCCCTGGGAAAGGCGGGTGCATGGCTGGGGGTGGCCAGTGGGTGCCAAGGGAAGGTGCGAGCAGCAGACCTGGCAGTGTGAACACAGCCTGCTGGGATGCTCAGGGATCAGTGACAGATGCACGGGCAGCCACAGTTGTGGTTCCACCTCTGGGACCTGCCAGGCTCATGCCACGGACCACAGGGCCAGCGCGAGGGGCGGGCATGGCCCTGGGGACACGGCTCGGCTGCTCCCTGCACTCGTAGGAGCGGTGGGGCTGAAAGTAGGGCCGGGTCGGGGCAGGGGTCTGTCAGCGCCGGGGGAGCAAATAAAACGCCCACTGCACCTCACTCGACTCTTGCTCTGCCCCCGGGCACCGCGGCATCGCGCTCCCACCGGTCCGTCCCACGGACACACTGCGTGGCCAGGGCAGGGCCACCACTGGGTTGGGTTGGGCTGCAGCTCTATGGGCAAGGGCCGGGCAGGGCACACCAGGCTGGCACCAGCGGGCACGGTGTCACAGGCCATCGCAGCACGCCAGAGCTGGCAGCGCACCAGGGGCAAGAGAGGGTAGGAGGCAGGCGGGGATGGGCAGGAGCAAGGTGCCCAGCGGCAGTGGGGACACCGTCCCTGCCCTCCTGCCGTGCCCACCCCGCTCAGGGGGGGAAAAGCGGGGGCTGCCAAAAGTTTTCTGCATCTTTATTTGAAATGAATGGTTCCCAGAGACACAGGGTTAGTCCTACCGCCCTGGCATCACTACAACAAGACTGGTGAGCGGCTCACTCTCCACATGGACACAGAGAACAGAGGGCCCCGGGCCAGGGCCCAGAACAATATATACAGGCTCAACAGGAGACCCATGTACAGCTCAAGAAAACTGACCAGAACACAAGGAGGGGCAGGAGGCAGTGGCACAGTCGGAGCCAGGCTCACCCCGGGCAGGGTGCTGGCACCCCACGGCTTTGGGAGGGAGGGGGAGGCCGGGCAGAGTTCCTCACCCCTGCCAGCGGCTGCCCAAGCCCTTGGCTGGAGCAGAGGGACCCACTGCTGGCACCTTGCACCTATGCCAGGACGGGGAGCAGCGGGGAGACAGGGAGGGCACTGGCGCAGACCTACCTCCGTCAGTTTCCTGCTGACTCAGCAAAGATTGACCAAACGGCGGGAGGCAGCCTGGCTGGGTATGAGGGAGCTGCCCCACGGCGAGGCCAGGTCTCTGCCCTCACGTTCCAGCGCTGGCTCCCTCCACCCCTTGCAGCCCACCCAAATGTCTCCCACCCCTGTGAACAAGCCCTCCTCCTGACCCACCACCCCTCAGGCTGCCCGTGGTCCTTCCCCACTGGTTTGAAAACACCATCCTGCCGCAGGCGGCAGCAGAGCTACCGTCCCTGCCCGTGCCACCCGCAGCCTGGTGAGGGGATGCAAAAGGAAGGGGGAATTCAAAGCCTCAGGGCTGCTGGTCCCAGACGGCGCTCTGCCGTATTGTGCGGTTCCTGCCCCGGGGCAGGGGGAGAAGGGGGCTGGAAGGCATGGGGGGGACAGGGCTGGGCAAGGGAAGCTGCCCTGGGGGGGCTCCACCACCCCTGTGCTGTGGGGACTGGCCCCGGGGAAGACAGCTCACCCAGCAGCTGGGACAGGAGGCAGGGCTGAGCACGGGGACCACGTACATAGGAGAGGCCTGTAACGAGCAGGATGGGATGTCCGAGTCCGGGAAGGATGAAGGGACAGCACTGCTGCAGCACCGTCCCCTCCCGCGCTGCACGGCCCCCGCAGCGGGGGGCAGGGAGACGAGGCATCCGGGGCTGGGGCACAGCACAGCCCGGCAGCGCCTCGCTCTTAGTCCATGTCGTCCTCCAGGCCGCCGAGCCGACTGTGCTCCTCGTAGATCTCCCTCACGGCCAGGATGCGGTTCAGCATGCTCTCCAGCATGCTCCGGTCCATGGGGATGACCGAGTACCAGAGGGGGGACTCAGCGATGCACGACCGTTCGGGCTGCAGGTAGAAGACATCGTTGCGGTTCCGCAGACTCTCGGGACTGTAAAGAGAGAGGAAGGTGAACCTTGGGACAGCAGCTCCAAGGGCTCAGAGAGCCTGGCTTGCCCTCAGGGTTATCAAGGGGTGCTCAAGGCTTGTCACAGCCTCATCCTTCAGCGGGACAAGGATGACCTCATCACTCTCTACAACTACTTGAAATGACACTGTAGAGGGGTTGGTGCTGGTCTCTTCTCACAGGTAAGTAACAACAGAACGAGAGGGAACGGCTTCAAGCTCCAACAGGGGAGGTTTAGATTGAACATTAGGAAGGCATTTTTCACAGAGAGAGTGGTCGGGCACTGGAATAGGCTGCCCAGGGAGGGGGTGGAGTCACCATCCGTGGACGTGTTTAAGGGACGTTTAGATGGGGTACTGAGGGATATGGTGTAGGGGAGGACTTTGTAGAGTAGGGGAGATGATTGGACTCGATGATCCCAAGGGTCTCTTCCAACCTCAATGATTCTATGATTCTAAGGACACAAACTGAGTCTACAGCTCCTCACTGAGGACCAAAGCCCCCAACCAGCCAAGCACCAGGACTCATACTGCACACTCCTGAGAGAGACAAGTAGTGGAAGGGGCCAGAGAGAAGCATTCTCTCAACCATGGTCTATACAAGCAGTGCACGCCCTGAGCAAGGATTCACGCTCAAGTACAAATGTTTATGAGCAGAAGCCACTCCACAGAGTCCCACCAAAACTGAGAAGTGGCCCCAAAATGGCACATGTTCCTTCTCCAGAGAAAGCCTCACCATTTGGAGAGATAAAACTCATAGAACTTGACTGGGCAGCGGAGTGGGTTCATCCTGTTCTCCCGCTGCTCCAGCATGGGTACCTCCTCCTCACGCTTCCGCTTCCCAGAGCCGCCATCTGCAGAGGGGGAGAGAGCCGGATCACGGCTGGGACCCCAGGGGGAAGGCAGGGGGAAGGACAGAGAGATGCTCCATCAGACCCTACCTCGGCCTTTCTTCTGCTTGGCAGGAGCATAGTAGCGGATGCTCACCACCTTCGTCACGCCACGGGCCGTGGTGCACTTGCGGGACTGGCGCACCACGTTGGTGAAGGAGAGCTGCATGTGCTCCTCTGCTGTCTGCAGCCCGAAGAATTTGGTGTTGAAGAACATGAGGGTGTTGAGGAGCACAAAGGGTGAGTAAACGCCCAGCTGCTTGCACTCCCAGAGGTGCTCCTCCTCGACACGCGAGAAAACTGTGTCTGCAACACACAGAGGAGGAACCAGGTCACATCAACAGTAGCCTTGTGACAATCCCTTCACTCTGCCCAGGCAAGCTCACTGCAGAAGACTGACGCTTCACAACATCCCCTTTTCCACGGGGTAACTTCTCCAGAGCCATCAGCTCTGCCCAGCTACGAGCCACCCCAGAGCACAGCCAAACCCCAGGCCAGAATGCAAGTCAATCCTAACCCCCCTCAAGCGAACTCCAGGTCAGTGCTCCACCACACTCGGTGTGAGATGAAGGAAAAGCAGCCAGCAGGACAGACATGGCCAGCTCCTGCCTAGACACACAGGTCTGGAGCCAAATGCCTCTGCCTGGGACAGCCACTACACAAAGGTGAGGCTGGATCTGGGATCTACCCGCTGACAAGACACAGCAGGGAGGGCAGCCCAGATCATGGCATCATGAAAAGCCTCCGCAGAGCTCTGCGTCAGTCTGCTCACAAGGCAGCAGCACGGCAACCCTGGCCAACACCTAGCACAGTGTGCAGGGCTTGCCCACGTGCTGGGAACTCCAAGGTACCGGCCAGCGTGCCTCCTGGCAGGGTGTCCCCTTTGGCAAAGGGTGCAGACATCACTGAAGTGTTGAAAAGATTCAACCTGTCCCAGGAGCCAAAGCAGCCACGCTCTGCTCCCAGTTACCCTGATTCTGGGCAACAGAAGCTGCTGAGGCGTAAAGCAGGGCAGCTGCACTGTGGGTACGGGTCAGTTTGACCCCAAGACACAGCAGGACCGTGTGCCTATGCCAAGAAAGAGGGTTGAGGCTGGGAGAACACCATCAGACCAGAGGATCCGAGATGAGAAGCACAAACTGGGTATACGTGGTGACAAGGTATTCTGGAAACACGTACTATTTGGTAAGATTGTGGGTTGCCAGCCGCTCAGGGACTTGTTCAGCTCCTGCACGAAGGTCAGGTAGTAAAGGTCTGTAAATATATTCACCATACGATTGTTCTCGAGCAGGTACTAGAAAGGACAGAACACACAGTCAAGAGAGACACGGCAGCACCTGGAAGGCAAACCCTCCCCAGAGAGCCCAGGGCACACACACAGAGCACCCCTCCTTGTACACCCAGGGCTGCAGGGCAGGCAGCTCAAACCACCCCCTTCTGAGAGCTGGGAGGAAAACCCCAGGACATGACAAAGCAGACTTGGTGCTGAAGAAGGGACTGAGTTCGGGGAGATCTCCCAGCCCTCCTCAAGGATGTGCAAGAAGGGTGCAAGGCTGGGGAACAGCTGCCACCTTACCCGCTGGGCTTGGGAACAAAGACTGGACCAGGTGGACTGCTGTCCTGGGGTGAGGCACTGAAGGAGAGTTTAGTGACCCTCTCGGGGTCCCCAGAAGGCAAAATAAAGGGTACAAGTTCCCCTCACCAGATCTGATCCCTAGGTCTGGCTGTAGAGAACTAGAGGGCAGCAAGCCCTCCCTCACCTGCTGGATGCCAAGGCAGAGGTAATAGATGCTGTCTGGTTCGTAGCGCTCCCCATTGGGCCGTGTTATCTCCTTGACAAACTGGGCCAGGCCATAGTTGAGCTCAGCTGCTGTGCAGGCCAAGATGTCTTCTTTGATCCTCATGGGCTTGGCTGTGGAGACAAGCACAGCAGCCTCGTACAACAGCCTGCAAGGCCAGGAGCACCTCAACACCCTGGGAACCCAGCTGCTGGGAGGTTTCTGCCACTCCACCCCAAGCAGACAGGACACTCACGGCCGAAGCGTAGCTCCTCTCCCTTGCTGCTCTCTCCCCCTGCATACTTGGCTTGCACCCAGGACTTCCAGGCATTCACACCATAGGAGTAGTTGAGCACCGTGCAGCTGGGCTGGCTGCTCATTGAGTCCCGGGAACAGCTTTCAGAGAGCACCAGGCGCTTCTGCCCCTGCAGAGACGGGTACTGTGAGACTGGGCACCCACCTGGGACAGATGGAAGAGTCCTGGCCACCCCTCAGACCTGCTGACTGCCAGCTCCCTCCTAGTGTGCCTGTGCCAGCAGGCATCCTTCTGCTGACAGCCAAACCAACAATGCCCATTAGTTATGAGGACCACAGGCAGAAAAGAGACCTGTGGCATTCAAAGCTATTCCGAAATGACAGGCAAGTACTTTCATTCAAGGAGTGGCCCACAAGCCAGGCGTGCCCTGAAGGGAGAGGGGAAAACCTCCCCAACACACGAAAGCCTCTGGCACGCTTCACCCCATACGTCCCAGATGGCAGCTCCCACTCCAAACCGAAAGAGCTTTAAGCAGGTGGTACCCACGGGCAGCTCACCTTTCGGACAGCACGAGGCAGATCTTGCTCCGTGGACACATCATCTGGTCATTCTGGAAACACGTACTATTTGGTAAGATTGTGGGTTGCCAGCCGCTCAGGGACTTGTTCAGCTCCTGCACGAAGGTCAGGTAGTAAAGGTCTGTAAATATATTCACCATACGATTGTTCTCGAGCAGGTACTAGAAAGGACAGAACACACAGTCAAGAGAGACACGGCAGCACCTGGAAGGCAAACCCTCCCCAGAGAGCCCAGGGCACACACACAGAGCACCCCTCCTTGTACACCCAAGGCTGCAGGGAAGGCTGCTCAAACCACCCCCTTCTGAGAGCTGTGAGGAAAAACCCCAGGACATGACAAAGCAGACTTGGTGCTGAAGAAGGGACTGAGTTCGGGGAGATCTCCCAGCCCTCCTCAAGGATGTGCAAGAAGGGTGCAAGGCTGGGGAACAGCTGCCACCTTACCCGCTGGGCTTGGGAACAAAGACTGGACCAGGTGGACTGCTGTCCTGGGGTGAGGCACTGAAGGAGAGTTTAGTGACCCTCTCAGGGTCCCCAGAAGGCAGAATAAAGGGTACAAGTTCCCCTCACCAGATCTGATCCCTAGGTCTGGCTGTAGAGAACTAGAGGGCAGCAAGCCCTCCCTCACCTGCTGGATGCCAAGGCAGAGGTAATAGATGCTGTCTGGTTCGTAGCGCTCCCCATTGGGCCGTGTTATCTCCTTGACAAACTGGGCCAGGCCATAGTTGAGCTCAGCTGCTGTGCAGGCCAAGATGTCTTCCTTGATCCTCATGGGCTTGGCTGTGGAGACAAGCACAGCAGCCTCGTACAACAGCCTGCAAGGCCAGGAGCACCTCAACACCCTGGGAACCCAGCTGCTGGGAGGTTTCTGCCACTCCACCCCAAGCAGACAGGACACTTACGGCCGAAGCGTAGCTCCTCTCCCTTGCTGCTCTCTCCCCCTGCATACTTGGCTTGCACCCAGGACTTCCAGGCATTCACACCATAGGAGTAGTTGAGCACCGTGCAGCTGGGCTGGCTGCTCATTGAGTCCCGGGAACAGCTTTCAGAGAGCACCAGGCGCTTCTGCCCCTGCAGAGACGGGTACTGTGAGACTGGGCACCCACCTGGGACAGATGGAAGAGTCCTGGCCACCCCTCAGACCTGCTGACTGCCAGCTCCCTCCTAGTGTGCCTGTGCCAGCAGGCATCCTTCTGCTGACAGCCAAACCAACAATGCCCATTAGTTATGAGGACCACAGGCAGAAAAGAGACCTGTGGCATTCAAAGCTATTCCAAAATGACAGGCAAGTACTTTCATTCAAGGAGTGGCCCACAAGCCAGGCGTGCCCTGAAGGGAGAGGGGAAAACCTCCCCAACACACCAAAGCCTCTGGCACGCTTCACCCCATACGTCCCAGATGGCAGCTCCCACTCCAAACCGAAAGAGCTTTAAGCAGGTGGTACCCACGGGCAGCTCACCTTTCGGACAGCACGAGGCAGATCTTGCTCCGTGGACACATCATCTGGTCCCACCAGCCCACAGTCAAAGAGAAAGTCCACACTGGGGTTAATGTCTAGAGGGTCTGAAAGGAAACACAGGCAGAAGGGCTGAGACTTCTCATTGCATCCCCTGTGCTGGCCTGGCACTTAGGGCAAGACGAAGAAGGGACACGCAGCACAGTGCTTCACATCCTCCACCATTGCCCGGCATGAACTTTTAGCCACAGCCCAACACAGGAAATACAGCTCTGGGAGATGCTAACCTTTCTCACACTAACCAGAGATCCAAATTTTCCCTTCTGACAGCTGATTTATTTGGTTGGTTTTTAAACTTGAGGAACATTCCTCATCACCCTGCGCCAGGCCAGCACTGGGGACAGCCTGGCACAGGCACCCCAATTCTGTGTCCTTTGCTGCCAGCATCCTGCCCCAGCACCGCTGTGCTCCTGCAAGCCCCCGCCTCTTCTTCCACCTTCTGCCCATTAATGGACACTCAGCAATTCTGCCACCTCCCAGGATGTCATTCCCTGGCCAGGTCTCTCTCTCGCCTTGCTGGATCCTCTGGAATCATCATCCAACAGCACACCAGTGCCACCGCCCTGCTCTTTGGGCTGTTCAAATCAGCTTCTGGCTCCCCCTTCTCTGCAGAGCTATGTTCGCAACAGGTCAGTTCCTCTAGACAAGCACACGCTCCTTCAAGTGGTGGCCTCCTCACCCCTACTGCCAGCAGTCATCTGCAAGACCCTCAGCTCCTGGCCCCAAGCCCAGCCAGTCAGAGGACACGGGAGGTGAGTTCACACAGCTCCTAATGCTGCTGGCAACAGCTGGCCGAAGGCAGTGAGGGGACCCTGCTGTGACACGAGCAGCCCTACACGTCTGCTTCACCCAGCTCTTACTCTTAGGGAAGTCAGCCTCCAGGTCCTGGCCCGGCTCATCGAGGACATTTGCCATCTTGACAGCCATAGCCAACACATCATCCCGTGCCGGTCCAAACAGATCACAGTCCTCCAGAAGACCCTCCGCACTCTGGTTACTCACCAGGTCTGCAACGCAAAAGCAGATCAGAAACCCAACTTTCAATAAAGTCTTTTCTCTCTTTTCCTTGTAACAGCTGGAAAATGAAGTCAGGCTCACTGCAGTACAGTCCTGTGCTCACAGCAGCCCCATGACATCTCTCCTGCCCAGCTTCCCCTGGACACCAAGACACTGGAGGTTTGTCCTCTCCCCAGCCACAGCCCTAAGTCACTGAGGCTTGAGGAACACAGCCCCCAAGCAAAAAGACCCGTGAGTTCAGGACTGCTGGTCCTCTGGCTGGGAAGCTGCTTCAGGTAAGAGCCTGAACAACCATCTGAACAAACTAACAGTGCTGCACGTGTGCCACAAGACTCTCACCCCCAAAAGGGAGGGTAGCAGACACTGTTCCCTGCTGCAGCTCTTTCCTCTCGGCAGAAGTTGAGGACTTTCTCTTCCCTGCTCCCTTTTCAAAGGCTTTGGGAGAGCTGTGATCCAGGCAGATGCCCTAGCTCCAAGAGCTGGCAAACCCACACCTGATCCCAGCTGTTGGGCCGGCCCAAGCCATGGCAGCACCTACCGCACAGGTCCGAGGAGGCCTTGTCCAGTTCCTCAGCCTCTGCGATCATCTCAGCCATGGCCAAGATGTCAGCCTCCAGGGGATTGGAGGGGATCTTCACCTTCAGCTCCTCAATGGTCTCCACAATCTTATCTGTGCTCTCCAGCGTGGTGGGCAGGAACATTGGCACAGGCACCTGTTGACAGCAGCACACCGGGCAGAAAAACTGACACTCAGCCGGGCTGATGTAAAAGCAGAGGCAGGAGAAGAGGACAAACAGAGAAGCAGGGAGGCTGCAGCGAGGCGGGATCGAGACAGTAAGGAAACACGAGCGGGTGGAGTGTGTCGCTTACCGGGACAGGCATGGAGAAAGGCACAGGTACTTTCTGGCAGTACATATGCATAGGCACAGGCACGAAGATCGGGATGGGGATTGGCAACACAATCACCTGGGGCTTCCAGTCAGCCTCTGACAAGAGCAAAAGTACATCAGTAAGCTTGCTGCCAGCAGCTCCCCTGCCCAGCCCTGCTGCCCGCTGCCACGGCCCCAGCACCACGGCCCTTCCAGCCACCAGCTCCTGCGACTCGTGGGCAGAGCTGGGGCAGCAGCAAGCCACACAGCCCTGCAGCAAGAGAGGCTTGCCTTAACCAGAGGTGCAACCCCTGCTCTTATGTGGCCCTGCAGAGAAGTCTAGTTGCCTTGCATATGCTGGAGACCACACACACAAGCCCGACAGGAGCTACACAGCAGAACCTGCTCAGCAGACACCCCCTCGGACAAGCTGGCCATCTCCAGAGGAACAGGAGTTGTCCCACAGGAGGTGGGATCACACTGCAGTGCTCTCTGCGTCTCTCCTTTTGCTGCTGAAGGAAGCAGGCTCTCTGCCTCCAGCTCTGCCGTGCGTGCCCTGCACTGCCCTGAGACTCCTCAGCATAGTGCCAAACACCCAGCTGCTCCGCACAAGCTTTTCAGGCTGGATTCATATTTAGTCCGGAGCACGGACACACCGCTCGCCTTTCCAAACTGTCCCTGTAATCCTGCAGTTACGTCTTGTGTTCCTACCTGTCTGACATCCTTTGGACTTCATTTCTATCTTGCAGGAAACACCCCGGTTCTGCATCAGTGGTTTACACATGGCAGCTTTATTTTTCCGAGGGGTGGCTGGAACCGGAGGGGGTGGGGGAGGTGGTGCGGCTGGAGACACCTGGGCTGAGGAGGTCTTTGCTGACAGCTGAGGAAATGCAGAAAGGAGGAGGTTGGTATCCATCTAAGGCAGAACCATCTCTTCCCCACCACGGGTACAGCTGGAGAGACTCCTAAAACACTGCCTGGAGCCTGGCAGTCCCCAGCACACACACACACACACGTGGACAGTCCCATGGTCAGACCCAGCCAAAGGACTGCCAAGCTGCTACCAGCAGACAGCAAGCCATGTGGCATCTCTGGGTCAGTCAGCAGGGGGTCTGCCACTGGTTGCTCCCACCCCACGGGGCATCAGGGAACGCAGTGGGACAGCCACTACACCCAGGCACAGGGCAGGCTGTTCTGCAGCCCATCGCTGAGTCCTGGGGAACAGTTATTCTTCCCCCTTTCAAGAGATACACTGATGCTGCCCTCCCCAGCAGCTCTCAATACCCAGGCATCTTCAAAAGCATTGGTTGCCGAATGAAATGCCCCTGAGCAATGTCTGATGTGTCCTCTTTGGGTAGAGCCCCTTCATGCTATTTTGAAAACTCCCACCTCCAACGGGCCTTACCATGTTAGTCTCTGCCTTCTGCGGGGAAGGGGCAGGCGGTTTTGGCTCTGAAGTTTGACCTGTAAGAGAAAGCAACAACTCTTAAGTTCGAGAGCTCCTGGGCCAACAGGTCCCACTGCTGGGACTGGAGGTGGCAGCAGCCAGAGGTTAGGGACAGGGTCCCCAGAAATTGCTCCTGGCCACTCCAGGAACAGTTAATGTTTTCACAATCTCTAGCCCTATCAGCTCAGAAGGCACAACTCCAAAATCAAGTCATTCCCATGTAATTCTGTGCTCCCTTGCAGTCCACCCCATCACAGCAAGTCAGGAGAAATCCCAGCCCCTTGTAGAGAGAGGAATCCAGGGCTCTATTCCCAGCTCTGCCTATTGGCTTGCTGTACCGAGCCATGGCCCCTCCCTGTGCCTCCATCTCCCTGATACAAATAGCTTGGCAAAGTGCTTCGAGATCCCTAGGAAGAAGGTGACAGAGCTTATGGAAGCATTAGGAGATATCCCAGAAAGCAGAGAGACAGCTTTGCCCCAGCCCTAGGGATGCAGTCCTTCCCCGTAGGGGAAGAGGGGATCACCTGCAGGTAAGAGGCACGTGTGGCGGACACCAGCCTCAGGCGGTGACAGTATCATCCTGGCTTGGACAATAATTCCAGCTCATTTGCTCTGCAGAGAATCTGCATCTATCTCAAAGGCTGATGAGCTCAAAGAGCACTTTCATCCAAGTTTCCCGTGAGCCCTGCTTACCCACGTGGCTGGGAAAAAGAATGGCCTTCTACAGCACTCCCTAACCATGGGCCATGCAGGAAGGAGGCACCTGCACGGAAAGCAGCAGCACCCAAAGGGATTGGCAGGTTCATACCTCCTACAAACACCTAGGCTCTCCAGGAAAGACCCAGACTCCCAACACACGGGCATTCGCAGTGTGCAGATCTCCTCCATCCCGAGGAAATGCAGGACAAGGCTTGAGCAATTGGAGGCCCTGCAGGGTCCACCTGCTGACCACCACAGGGGAATGGGTAAGTTCCAGTCGGAGGAAGCTCCCTAGCCTGCAGCTGAGCATTCAGCCACAGCATCTGCACTTGTCTCAATGGGTCCAAGAACTCCCCTTGACCGACCCAAAATGGATGGGCAGCAGGTCAAGGTGGTATGAATGAGAAAAGACAAGCTATGGAATACGAGCAGAATTTCTGCTGCAGCAGAGTCAAAAGCAAAGTTGATTTCCCCACAGGCCAATGATTTAGGACTAAGGGAAACAAGAAGATCCTCCTGCCACAAAGCTCCATGTACTACATGTCCAGGCTCCCAGGAAAGCTGCAGCTTGTTCTTTACTCTCATCCCAACACTAGCAAGGAGCTGTCAAGGCACTGCCTGCACCAACTGTGACTTCTGACCCTCTGTCCTCTCCAGCTGCACAGCCCCGTGCAGAGCCAGTTCCCCTTGGAAGTCTTAGGGCACAGTTCTGTGCCAGAAGCTCCTCAATCCCTCATTACACTGTTCCCAGCAAAGGAACGGCCACTTTTATCGTCAGCAAGCACCCTCAGGATCACCAGAAACCACTGGGTCACAGGAATGAATAGTTTTAGGCAACCACTGGCTGCAAAAGAGGAAGCAAATAGTCAGCAGCTCTGCCCAAGATGGGCCTGAAATCCAGGTAGGGAACACAGCTCTCAGGTCCACAGGAGACCCTGGCTGGACTAGGCAGAAGCTGTTCCTCACCGTGCCCTGACAAGCTGTTCCTCCTGAAACCCCCTGCACAGCACACTGGGCTGAGAAGGTCTCTGTGTGAGCACAGGGCAGGCCCTGGCTCCAGCACCCCTCCTTTGCCAGCTGAGCAGCATGCCACAGTCCCGGGACAGGGATGTCCACAGCTATCCCACAGCTGGCAGATGGGTGTGCCGGGACACACAGAGGGCCCGGTGCCACCAGCAGTATTCCCCAAGCTGCTGGGGCAGCCCAAAGCTTGTGTTCAGCCAAGCGCTCACCACCGCTGGTGAGCTTTTCCTGGGTTACCCTCAGAGTCCTCTGCCTCACCGGGCGCAGGAGAGCTGCGGCATGTTGAACGGTGATGCCCCACATGCCAAGCAGCAAGGTTCTTGGGGGCCTCTAGCCAGGGCTCAGACTCTTGTGGTTGTTGGTGATGGAGAAGGTACCTCTCAGAGTCTTGTGGTCAACGGCCCCAAGGAAACAATGGCCAAATGATGTGAAACATGCTTCCCTCTCCAGGCAGAGCTTGCTCGCTGTGCCTGTGTCCCAAAAAACAGCGTTACCAGTCCCTCACAAGCAAGATGCCTTGAAAGCAGAGGACAAATGGAACACATGGCTAGGGCTGTGGAAACACTTGGTGAGCTAGAAGAACCAGCAAGTTTAACACCTCCTCCTCTCCTGGGCTGCACAACAGTCTGTGCCCCATCAAGCAGACTCCCCCCGGGCACCCCTGTGCCAGCAGAAACCCACAGTTCCTCATCCAGGTCACTCCAGTGTGCGGTCACTTGAGCTGTCACCTCACGTGGCCTTTTAGGGAGTGTGGCTCTTGGCGGGCAGGTTGGGACTCCCCTGGCTGGCAGAGCCTGCTGCTGCTGGCAGAGCAGCTCTGCTTTGCGGACATCCAGGGCTTCACCCATCTTGCGACACCTACTGCTGCCAGGAGAGGAACCAGGAAGAGTCTGGAGATGGAGGTCTCTCACGGGAAGGTCCTTGTCTTGGTTTCCCCCTCCTTGGCACACCCTAGTCAGGGTTTTATACCTCATGAAATTCCAGGGAGGGCAGCAAAGCCCTGAGCCTGCGATGCAGGGATCTGTCGAAGCTCGATGCACCAAAACGAGTCCCACCATAAGCTGCAGCTGTTTTAGCTAGATGACACAGACTACCTGGAAGATTGTGGCCTATGAAAGACCAGCAGAAGGAGACTACTTGAGCATCCGAGGGCCAAGCGATGTCTTGTCACTGTCACTAAGAGCACCTTCCATCCTGAGGGACCCCAAAGCACTTTGCAATCTTCCATAAGTAACTGGCTCAAGTTAATGATAGGAAATGGGGCAACAGGCAGTGAACATCTCCTCTCCAGCTGGAACTCCATGGATGCAGAATGGGGTTATCCGGGACACGGGGTTGGCAACTCCCCAAAGCTGCAGCGATCTTTGGGTAAGTGGTAGGACTCCAATCTAACATCGCAAGACAGAGTGCCTCCAGCAGCTCAGCGCTCCCTCAAGATCGTCCTAGGTTCAGCTCTGGCTGAGGAGAGCCCACCTACAGCATCACCAGCACCACTTCCTGCAGCACCCTGCGTTTTCCTTGAATGTTTCCCATCCAAGCACTGACCTGGCCCAATCCTGATTAGCTTATGAGAAGGTCACAGCTCGGAGGTGGTGTGGGGCTGCAGGTGGATTATCATGCCAAACCACGCTGTCCCCTAACCCTGTAAATCGAGCTCTCCGCTGGCAACATGAGGATGTTAAATCCCTGAGTATCCTCGCTAAGAGTGTGAGCTACAGGCAGCACGCTGGCACCGGCTCCTCCCGTCTGGGCCCTGTGTGTCATAGAACCATAGATGTTAGAGATGGAGAAGCCCCATTAGGTCCCACTCCGTCCTCTCCCCCCCCCAGGGGCCAGTGCAGGATTGTTCCCTAGCGTCTCATCCAGTCCCGGGCAGGAAGCTTCCACCCCTCGCTGTTCAGTCTTCCCTGTGTCTCTCGGACTGAGCTATGCAGGTCCCCTCCCTCCCTCCTACTCACTGTTCAGCAGGCTCTCGGGCCCCTTCTGCGTGTCCAGGTTGGGCTGGTTCTGTTGGTTGTAAAATCGCAGCAGACACTGCTGGTTGCAGAAGTGTTTGATTTGCCCCCGCCAGTGGATGGTTTCCAGCAGCTTCCCCTGACGCTTGCAGGCATGGCACCGAGCTGCCTAAAGCCCGCATCAGCAGGAGAGAAACAAGGAGTAACTAATCACACCCCCTCCGAGAGCAACACAACGCTCCGGTGAAAGGTGCACATAGCAAGGTGCTGTGAGCTTCCCCACAGCAGTGCCCTGCCAGTGCCAGCCGGGGACTCCAGCGGTGCGAACTTCTCACAGCAGCACTGGCCGCGGATCCAGCACTGCGAGCTTCCTCAGTGCAGGGCTCTGGCAGGATCAGCTGGGGACTCCAGCTACGTGAGCTTCCCCGTAGCAGTGTCCCGTCATTGCCAGGCAGGACTCCAGCAGTGCCAGGTTCTCCGCAGCAGTGCCAGCCAGACTCCAGCAGTGCGAGCTTCCTCAGTGCAATGCCCACTTATCTGGGTGCCGTGCCCACCACAGCACTTAGCACAAGCTGCCAGTGCCAATACTGACCTTGAAGTACCAGAGCAAGTATTTGCTTTTGCAGTCTTCACTACAGAAGTCCCAGGTGCTGCCCTCCAGCTGCTCGGTGACCGCCCGCTGGCAGGTCTGAGAACAGTAGGTGCAGGTGATGCAGCACAGGCCCAGGTTCTTGGTGAAATCCTGTTTGTAAAGAAGCACACACCCTGCGGAGAAACAATAGGAGTGAAACCTTCCCAGGATGAACTGGGGGCCTCCCTGACCCAAACATGACCACAATCCAGGTCTGCGGAGACAACAGAGCACACGCAACGCACTGTAGGGAACAATCCAGCACTGGCCCCTGGGGCTGGGATAAGATGGGACCTCATGGGGACTTGCCATCTCTCACCTCCATGCTTCTAGGAAGAGTCTGACTCCAACCTCCTGTGTGCAGGAACCCAGCAGGCAGGGCAAGGCCAGGTCAGGCCAGCCCAGACGCAAGAGCGTAGAAGTGCATGATGACAGGAGGAGCGGAGCTGCCACCTGCTGTCTCCCCAGCCCCCAGAGAGAGAAAAGCTGTGAGAAAGCCCTCCCCAAGGACACAATGAACGGTAAAGATCTTGCCCTAGGGCCTGGCTGGACAGCAAGCCATCCCCACGACAGTCCTCCCTTCACTGCATGGCAAGGCTCTCGCCCCAGGGCCTGGCTAAGACAGTCTCCCCTGTTCCTCTCCATGCTCTCTTCTCCCCCAGCGTGGGCTGGCATGGGGGCTCTGCCTCTCCCGTGCCTCCCCCAAGTACCTTCGCTGCAGAAGTTCTTCTCCACTCCAGAGAAGCGGATCTTCTCATGCAGCAGCTTCTCCTGCTTGCAGTGCTCGCACTGAGACACCACCCCACGCAACCGCTTGAAGTCCTCGCAGCAGTCCTTGCAGCAGAACTGATACACTTTGTCCTGCCAAAGAGACCACCACAGGGTCAGCCAGGCCGGCAGGAGGTCCCCGCACTTCTTGGGGAAACACAAGCAAGACTACGGGGCCGAGCCAAGTCCCCAGCTCTCCTGGCATGGGGTTTGGCAGAAGCGGTCTCCTCCTGCCTCCCTGACATCCTGCTGAACATCAGGAGTGCGGTGCTCGGTGCACGGGCTCCAGGCTCACCCCTGCAGTCAAGGCTCTCACAGCACTGGCCCGGGAGCTCTTGCTTTGAGCAGGGAGAGGAGGGAGCCCCGTGGTCCTCGCCTCTACATCCCCCTGGGGAAAGTCCTCACCTGCCAGTCTAGGATCTCCGGCTTCCCGCTGAAAAGATTGTGGCAGTAATGGCAGTTGAGGTGGATCCCACCTTCCGGGCTGGTGCGCTGCAGGAGACAGAGACAGCTCGTGGAGGGAGAGGCGCAGGGAGGGCAGCGAGCACCTGCGTCGCGCTGCCACCACCTCCTGCCTCCTCCACCCTCCATAGCAGTCCATCCCCCCCTGCCCAGACCTGCGCCGGCTGCCACCGGCAGCGACTCACAGTCGGTCCCATCTCAACCTCCCGGAGAGCAGATTCTTGAGCAATCTCCCTTGTACTCCCAGTGTACCGGGTCCAGCTCTGCTCAGGAGAGCAAGCTTTCAAGCTGCCACCCCTCTGGATTTGAAAACGTATTAAGAAATGGGAGCTCCGCTACCTCTTCTGAGAATTTCTCTCAAAGATCTTAAAGCGCAGGTGCCTGGTTTCTATTTTCAAAGCAATGCAATTTCAGAATTCAAGCAGCCATTCTCATTCCACCTTCCTCTGCCGGATTAAACAGCCGCTCGGCACTTGCTGTCTTGCGCACAAGGATGTATTTATTAATAAAGTCATCCTCCTCGTTTTCTTTCTGATAACCTCAGATAAGGTGCTCTGCGAGCGCCTCAGTACATGCATTTTTTAAGCCCAAATGTAATTTTTCTGCCTTTTTTCAGCATACTTCCAATTTTTCTTCAACATCGAAAATAACACAGACATCAGATGAACATCCTCCCTATCTGTGCAACATTCTAGGTAGCTCTTTTGCTCCCTAGCCCCCAAACTTTTAACTCCCTGTTCCCCTGCTTGTACTCACAATAACTTAATTAATCTTTCCGTCTGTGGCTGTAAACTGAGATGCTCCTACTGAATATCTTATCTGCTGTAATCCCAGGGCCTTTTCAAAATCCTGTCTTTCCCAGGACTTAGATCCCCACGCTACTTGAGTAAGGCTGATACAGGATCTCGCACTGAACTACATCTAAGCACACGTTAGGAGGGACAAGTCTTGTCCAGCAATCCAACGGCTTTGCTTTCTATGACTGCCCTGATCTCAGCATGAGTTAGCACTTCACCAGTTTTTGTTTCATCTGCAAAATTTTATCATGCTAACCTGGACTTTATTGCCAGGTGACTGACGAAGACGTTGAACTCCTTGGGCTTAATACCGATCCCCAAGAAGCCACCTTGAAACAGTCTCTTCAGTGGCTTTTCTTTGACAAGTGCATTCTGAGATCTGCCAGCAAGACGGTTCCTAATCCACGTTATCCCTGGGTTTACTACTATGTCACAATCCTGACTTTACATGGCAGTAATTCGAGTTGGGAGAATTAGGTGAAGGCCCTGGTGACTGGAAAAAGGGAAACATTGCGCCCATGTTTAAAAAGGGTAGAAAGGAGGACCCTGCCAACTACCAACCTTTCAGTCTCACCTCTGTACCTGGGAAAATCAAGGAACAGCTCCTCCTAGAAGCTCTGCTAAGGCACACGGAGGACAGGAAGGTGATTTGAGGTGGCCAGCGTGGCCTCACCAAGGATAAGTCCCACCTGACCAAGCTGGTGGCCTTCTATGATGGAGTCACTACATCAGTGGACAAGGGAGGACCTACAGATGTCATATGTCTGGAATTCTGTAATGGTCCATGGTCTCTCCCCATTCTGCTCTCTAAAGTGGAGAGATATGGGTTTGATGGGTAGACTGTTCAGTGGATGAGGAATTGGCTGGATGGTCACATCCAGATGGTAGTGGTCAACGACTCAGTGTCCAGATGGAGACTGGTGATAAGTGGTGTCCCCAGGGGTCCATATCAGACCAGCACTGTTTAATATCTTCATCAGTCACATAGACAGTGGGATCAAGGTCACCCTCTGCAAGTTTGCAGACGACACCAAGGCAAGTGGTGTGGTTGACATGGCTGAGGGATGGGATGCCATCCAGAGGGACCTGTGGAGGCTCAAGAAGTGGGTCTGTGTGAACCTCATGAGGTTCAACAAGGCCAAGAGCAGGGTCTTGCACCTGGGTTGCGGCAACCCCCAGTATCAATCCATGCTGGGGGATGAAGGGATGGAGAGCAGCCCGGTGGAGGAGGACTTGGGCATACGGACCTACAGATGTCATATGTCTGGAATTCTGTAATGGTCCATGGTCTCTCCCCATTCTGCTCTCTAAAGTGGAGAGATATGGGTTTGATGGGTAGACTGTTCAGTGGATGAGGAATTGGCTGGATGGTCACATCCAGATGGTAGTGGTCAACGACTCAGTGTCCAGATGGAGACTGGTGATAAGTGGTGTCCCCAGGGGTCCATATCAGACCAGCACTGTTTAATATCTTCATCAGTCACATAGACAGTGGGATCAAGGTCACCCTCTGCAAGTTTGCAGACGACACCAAGGCAAGTGGTGTGGTTGACATGGCTGAGGGATGGGATGCCATCCAGAGGGACCTGTGGAGGCTCAAGAAGTGGGTCTGTGTGAACCTCATGAGGTTCAACAAGGCCAAGAGCAGGGTCTTGCACCTGGGTTGCGGCAACCCCCAGTATCAATCCATGCTGGGGGATGAAGGGATGGAGAGCAGCCCGATGGAGGAGGACTTGGGCATACCAGTGGATGAAAAGCTGGACATGAGCTGGCAATGCACACTGACAGCCCAGAAACCCCCCGCACCTTGGGCTGCATCCCCAGCAGCATGGCCAGCAGGGCCAAGAGGGGATTCTGCCCCTCTGCTCCGCTCTGGGGAGACACCTCCCCAGTGCTGCCTCCAGCTCTGGGGCCACCAACAGCAGAAGGACATGGAGCTGTTGGAGTGGGGCCAGAGGAGGCCATGGAGATGCTGGGAAGGCTGGAGCCCCTCTGCTGGGAGGGGGGGCTGAGAGAGTTGGGGGGTTCAGCCTGGAGAAGAGAAGGCTCCAGGGAGACCTTAGACCCCCTTCCAGTCCCTAAAGGGGGCTTATAAGAAAGATGGGGACAAACTTTTTAGCAGGGCCTGTGGCAATAGGATGGGGGATAATGCTTTTAAACTAAAAGACGGTAGATTTAGACTAGATCTCAGGAAGAAATTTTTTACACTGAGGGTGGTGAGACATTGGCCCAGGTTGCCCAGGGAGGTGGTAGATCCCCCATCCCCGGAAACATTCAAGCCCAGGTTGGACGAGGCTCTGAGCAACCTGGTCTCGTTGAGGATGTCCCTGCAAATGACAGGGGCTTGGACCAGATGCCCTTTAAGGGTCCCTTCCAACCCAAACTATTCTGATTCGAGTCTTATGAAGTCTACAACTGTAAAAACTCTGCAGCTCTTACCCTATCAACACCATTTGTTATCTCAGTGAAGTATTACATCAAGGATTTATTGAAAAAAAAAAAAAAAAGAAAAGATAAAGCAACAAGCACACACAGACAAAAACCCCAAAACAAAATCAAAACACCCCCAACATAAAAACCACAAGAAAAAACCCAAACCCCAAAACCAAATGCTGCAACTGCCAGCTAATCTACCTTTAGATTCTGTAAGTTTTGTCAACTGCCCAAGGTATGTCCTGGCCTAAGATTCCCAGGTCTTCTTGGTTGCTGCTTTGTTCTTTGACACCTGTACAAAACTAATACTCTTCCGGTTGCCTTTGAATGCCACAAACATTTCTCATATGCTGAAACTTAACATCAGGAAATTAAAAAACACTGATCAAACGTTTGAGCGTTATTAAACATGAGGTATCCAGGCCTGCTGGCTGTAGATTTTTAGAAAGCACATCCTAGAAGATTTATGCTCCTTGGCAACACCTGGCTCAGGGGGCAGCTCTGCCCCTTTCCATCCCACCAGCAGGTGCCCACTGTGTTTTACTAGCTTGCTTGTGCTTTTGCTCGTGCCCTCGTAAGGCCACTCCATCCCCAATCACTCACACAGCACAGCTCTGTGCTGCAGTCCTGCTGGGCAGAACCTATAGCCAGGAGTGAATTACAGCCATCTTATCCCAACCAAGGAAGGGGGAAACAGAGCCAAGACAGAGATATTGGCAACTACAGTCACTAAAACTTTTGTGCTCCAGCAAAGACTTTCTTATGGACCCTCCCTGAGGCGCTTGAGGAAGGTGGAGGCTCTGCTAAAGTGTGGAACGAGGCATGAGCTCTACGGCCAAGCCCAGCACGAAGGATATTTCAGTACCTGGAATTTGGTCCAGCAGCTGGGGCTGCAGAACTGGTAGACAACCCGGTCTGTCTTGTTGTAATAGCAGGGTTCAGATAAACTCTTTCTGCAGAAGCTGCAGGGTCTAGGGGGACCTGATGAAACAGACAGGAATTGGTGAGGGCAGCAGCACAGGACGTGGGACCGGATTCTGAGGATGGCACGCAAGCTACTCACTCATCCTCAGTCTGTCAAGCTATTATCAAAAAACAAGGGACAAGACTAAGAGAACCAGGTTCTGCTAGGACAGAAATGTTAAACACAGATGAAGAGCAGAGCGGCTCAAAGAAGTGACCCTGGCTTTACAGGAATTTGGACAAAACAGGCTGCAGTACTTGCACCAGAGACCATACCCATTCCTGGACATCCTGGTACTCTCTGTAATGGGAAGGGTGATGCCAGCACAGAACTACTTTCTGCATTCTCAAATACAGCAATGTACACTACCCCTCAGTATAAAGATGTCTACATGCTGCAAGGGTTCCTCCCTCTCCAAATCTCCCTCCACGTGTCTCACTGGACTCCTCCCCAGGCAAACAACATGCCTTCTTTCCAGTCTCATCCACAAACAATAAATAGTAGCAAGGAAGAAGTTAGAATGGAGAGGCAACTGATTCCCTGCGCGTATGTGCTCTTACCAACCAAGCCTGACTGCTTCACTTTGTGGGAGGTAGTGCAGCAAATGGAGCAGAAGAGGCCCATCTTGCCGCTGCGGTCCACATTAGGCAGCATGTCGAAGTTCTTACACAGTGTCTTGCACCACATGCACGGGTAGACCCGAGTGTTCTTCTGCAAACACAGAGCAGAACAGAGCTGCTGGGGAGACCGTCACAGCCAGCGAGGTCCGACCCTCCTCTTCCACCCCACTACCGTATCCACCACAGGGCAGGTCTTCTGCAGGAACGCCTGGTGCCAGAGCCAGGCTCACAGTCTGCAGGTTCAGGTGGTGGTAGCAAAAAAGGTTGCCTTCAGCACCTCACTGGCTCATTCCAAGGGCCCCCTGGCAGGAACACAGAGCCTGGCAATCCCATCAAGACAGTTAAGCGAAGCCTGCTCAGGTGTCAGAGGAACACACCCAGCCAAGGTTTGAGGAGACATCCAAAGGAAGCCAGGCCCATGCTAACTGCAAACACCAGAGCTGCTGCACAGTCCAGCTCAGGGAGTGCCTGACCCGTGCTCAGGTCCAAGATGGACCCCCACGCAGAATAAATAAATAAATTCTATTTGCCTGCTTCAAAGCTTTTCCACAGCAATCTCTTAAATGTTTTGTCAGCAATAACAGGCCAAGGGGATTCAAGTCACCTGCTACTGCACAAAGTGCCCCGTGCCACACCGGGCAAAGGAGCTGCGTGCCCACGGAGACCTCCCACCCCATGCAGCCGACTCCACACACCTTCTTGTAACTGTTGAGACAGGCGGAGTTGCAGAAGCGTTTTTGCTGGCCTTCGTGGAAGAGGTACTCCAGGGGCAAGCCCTTGTTGTAGATGTAAAGTCCGCAGTTGTCACAGCAGTTGGTTTTCAGCCCCTTGGTGGCCCGGAACTTGGTGAAGCAGGCGTCGCTGCAGATGCGGTGAACCACGTTCCCATTGCTGACCTCGTGCTGGATCTGCAAAGACATCATGGCCATCACTCTCCCTCTAACCACCACGTGCCTCCTCCTGCCACGCGTGCACCAGTGCCACCCTTGGGATAGCAGGCTGTGACACTAACACTCGGGCAAATGCTGCACTGGAAGCTGGTGTGGACTCGGGCTGGCCTCCCTCACCAGAAGTCAGCCGAGCAATTCGGAGAGTGGGGTGGCAGGAAATGCTGAGCTTCAGGGCAGGGAGAAACAGAAGCCTAATTTTTTTTCAGCTGGAATAAGGGCTGCTTCACAGCAACAAGGCAGGACCTGGGAGTGAGCCCAAGCCAGCTCAGCGCCTCGTGCCACCGGAGAGCCCAGCAAATGCCCTCTGATCGTCTCGGGAAGGGCCAAGTGCTACAGGTCACAAGCACCTCATCCAGGACACGGGAAGCACAAGGGATTTATTTACCTCGCCAGGTTTGTGGCAGACGCTGCAGCGGGTGATGTCCGAGGCATCTGCGGACTGAGGTGGTGGTCTGTGCTGCTGGGCCTCGTAGAGGGAGAGGCAGACGGAGGTGCAGAACTCATGGAAAGAGCCGCTTGAACCGATTTGGGCAACCACAGAGTCCTTGGTGTTCCAGATCTCCCTGGGGATCAGGAGGGCATGCGTTAGGGCAGGGACACACCAGTCCTGCCCCAAAGGGCCAGGATGGCACGCTGCAATGTCATCCAATGGGACTTTCTGTTGTCCCAAAAGGGTGGCAAGAACTGTCTCACAGCAGCTTCTGTCCCAGCCCAGAGGGGTGGTGCCTGGAGACCGAACATGGGAAGTTGTTTTGAAAGGAGGTGGGGATATGGGGCATTGAGCCTGGGGACAGGCATGATAACGTGAAGGGGGTGTAGGGAGCATGAGATGTGTGGTGTGTGAAGGAAGACACGGGGCAGCAGCTGGCAGCGGGCAGGAGTGATGTGGGTGCATAGGAAGCTCGAGGGACACAGGGACGGTGACTGGCCATCAGGGCTGTGGGGCAGGTGAATGGGGTCACAAGCGCAGGAGCATTGAGGACAGGGGAATGGACACACACTTTTTACAGAAGGTGCATATCTTCTTGCCGGGTGGTTTTTTTGAGAAGGCGGTGAGACAGGAGCTGGAGCAGAAGAGCTGAGGGAGCCCTTTACGCTGGTAGGCGGTCTGGCCCTTCTGCAGCGGGGTCCGGCAGTTGGCACAAGTCATCTTGGTGACAGTGGAGCGGGCAGCTCGCTGAGCCATCTGAGCGCGTAAAGACATGCGAGTTGAGCGTCGGGTACGGAAAGGAACAAAATCCTCATCATTGGGATCATCCACCATTGCATCAGAGTCTTCATCAGAGACTGGAACTGCAAAGCAGCAGAGAAAGATGCACAGAAATCCCACATTAGGAACTGAGACAGAAACCTCTGCCACAAGACACATGCTGGGGCTTTCTGGGGTCACCTTTCTGGAGTCCCTCTGCATGCCTTGTACCTGCCTGGGTGGAATGATAAAGGGACCCTTAAAAGATACACTGTTGGAACTGGAGATGAGTCAGGAGGTCTTTAAGCAAACTGGGCTTAAGTAGGCTTCTCTAGGAAGTCATGATTTGCCAAGGTTAAGCAAAAGCTGAAAGTGCAAACATTTACAGCAGAAATCCCTCCAAGAACTGGTAGACCTTAAAGAGAAGAAGCTGGATCACCAGCCTCCAGCACAGGCAGGCCATGAAGGAGCAACACACAAACACTAGGGAATAGCAGGGTGACACTCAACATCTCAAAGAACAGAGGCTTCATGTACTTCTGCAGGAAAACCCCCAAAATGCAACCGTTCTTCAGCCAGCCTGCTGCCAGGGAGACCAAGGAAGAAAGTCCCTGGCTGAGGAGATGGATTTCCTGGGAACAACCCCAGAGTCTCATCCTATTACTTGCTGCTTGGTGACCACACACCACTGTAAAAATACTACAACCCTCTTTTCGACGTAAGTGCCCTGAGAAAGCAAGGCAAGTACTCCAGGATGAAAACTCAAGGGGTGAAGGGACCTGTCCTGTGTAGGAGGAAAGTCTGCACAGAAGCTTCAGCGCTCCCACCGTACTCACACCATGAACCCCCTGCCCACGAGGGCCCTGCCCTCGGGCTGAAACTGGGCATTGGCCAGCCCTAGTTACTCACTGCTCTCAGAGGAGTTCACAGTTTCAGGCCTAGCAGTTTCTGATCTTCTGGCTCGTTCACTTCTTTTCTGCTCCTAGAAGACATTCAGAAAATACTTATGCTAACCATCTGCTAGGATAACCATGGATAAATACCCCCGATCATGGTGGAGCTCCAACTTCTGGCATTTGCTTTCCCAATAACTAGGCTGAAAAATGTCTGTAATTCCATGGATACCTGACCAGAGTTGGCAAGATGGGGGGAAAGGGGAGAATGCCATCCCAGCTGAGGGTAGCAGTGAAGCCACATTACAGCCCAGTGGCAGTGCACAGGGATCACTCTGTCCCAGGAGACGTGCAAATTCCTTCCCAAAGGGGTGACGAGACAGCCGGTGTCCCTCATGGAGTCTGACAACAGCCAGCCACCCTCTGTGCTCCCACAGCATACAGCCTTGACTGCATTCTCCTCACCTTCTCAGCTGGCAGCTCACTCCCCTTCCCAGACAGGCCTTCTCCTGGAATAGAAGCACAGAAGAAGCTTGCATCTAAAATCTTGCTTTTCTCCAACAGAAGACAAGTGTTCTTCAAATGCAGCCACCCTTTGGGACAGTCTGCACGTGAAGCCTCAGACAGCCCTGGCCGTGATCAGACCCAGGAAAACTCCTAAACCCATCACCTGTAGTTAGAGATCCACACATGCAGCCTGGGATGTAAGGGGGAGGGAGACCTCCCTGCATGGGGGAGGCACGCTGGGCAGTTGCCTGCCAACTGCTTCTGACCAAGGCTGAGCATCTCCTGAGGATGGCCAGCCTGGGCAGAGGGACTTTGCCTAGTGGAAGCACTTTCTCCTGGTGACCCTCAATTCCAGCAAAGACTCCAGTGATGAAGAATGTGAGCTAAGCTGATGTGCAACCACAGCTTTACCAGGGAAGCTCCTAGCTGACACAAGCACCAAAAGTCAAAGTTAAAGCTATGAAAGCCAATGCAAGAGCTTGTATGCACCAAGGGAGCAGCTTCCAGAGTGTTATTCCCTGTAAGCAAGACGCTTTCCCCAAATCTAGCCCATCAGTAGCATTGGCAATTTCCATAGCAGGGGAGGATGGGAAAAACTGGAGCACAAAACAGACTCCAGCTTCTGCAATGGACAGCAGGATGATCTCCTGAGCAAAAGGAAGCCAAGTTCTGCAGAGATAACAACCTACCTGCTGGCGGTGAGGCTTCCTGTGCTGTCAGTACACTACTTTCTTTAATTGAGTTGTTCCCACTATCATCCCCTTCCTCTGCCTGGTTTTCCTCTCTGGGCCCAGGGGGCAAAACTGCAGCACTGTTGTCCAGGCTCAGTTCCACCTCGGCTTCCCCTGCCAGCCCTTCCCTCTGCATGGGTGAGCTTTTCCTCGGTGCCTTCAACCTCGTCTTCTTTGTCTGTTTAAGGTTGAGCTGTGGGGGAGCCATTGGAGGACTTGAGGGTTGTGCGGTGATCTCTTCCGTGGCTGAGGCACTGCTGAGGTCCCCAGGGTCAGGAACGGGGTGTCGGGGCGATTCAGGGGCGTTGTCATCAGACAGTGCAGGAATAGCAGCAGCACCATCTTCCTTCAGGTCCCCAGAATCATTTTTTGATGCATCTTCCCCTTCTTTCCACGCTTCTGGAACAAGGGCTTCTCTAGAGAGGGCAGAGGAGTCCGCTGGTCCATCCTCCACGTCCTGGGAAGGATGCGCCTTATACAGCCCATCCAGACCCTCCGTTTTATCTAGCTCCATCAGGTTAGCAGTTTTATCCAAGTCATCTAAGACGTTAGGTTTCTCCAGCATATCCAAGACACCAGGTTTATCTAGAACGAGGTCATTCGATTTGTTTAGTTCAGACAGGCTGTCTGCTTTCACTAGAAGGTCCAAGTTCCCATGTGCAGTCATCTGCTTGGATTGATCCCAGTCAGGGGGCTGAAGAACTGAAACTTCCTGGGTAGAAGCTGTTTGGGAGCCCAGGAGATCTTCTCCAAACTCCATGTCAGAGGGGAGGTCACCAATAAGTGGTTTGTCAGGCAAGGACAGGGGGTCCAAAGATCCCGAAAATTCACTGGAATCCATTTAGAAGATGACAACTGGAAATGAGAGGGAGACTTGCAAGTTAATGAAAAGTAGACGAACACAGCACATGAATGGTCCACTCTCCTGCACGCTGTCAGAGTAAATCAAGGCCCAGTAATACTGCTAGCCATAACCAGCATCCCAGCAGAGCACTCACTTCTCCTCGTGTGGTTACAAAACTCTGAAGCCAAACAGCAGCAGCGGGACACAGCAGCTGGGTACAGCAGAGCTTTGGGAGCTCCACAGCCTCCACACACCTCACCACAGCACGGCCAACAGACTTGCTAACGCTAAATGACACAGCGGGGTATCAGAAATGATTCGAGTACCAGTTCGGGAGGCTTCACAGCTGTTCTGTGGTACGTAATGCCCCCTCTCCCTGCCTTCCCCCATATCTCACCAGACTCAAATAATCCGCTCTGTCCTTTCTCCTGAGCTGTTCTCATGGAGCTGACACATACTTTATTTTGAAAATATCTTTTCTCTTCAACACAGAGACAGAAAGAACTCCTCTACAGCTCTGCAGCCTGTGCGGTGCTCGGTGCACGGGCTCCAGGCTCACCCCTGCAGTCAAGGCTCTCACAGCACTGGCCCGGGAGCTCTTGCTTTGAGCAGGGAGAGGAGGGAGCCCCGTGGTCCTCGCCTCTACATCCCCCTGGGGAAAGTCCTCACCTGCCAGTCTAGGATCTCCGGCTTCCCGCTGAAAAGATTGTGGCAGTAATGGCAGTTGAGGTGGATCCCACCTTCCGGGCTGGTGCGCTGCAGGAGACAGAGACAGCTCGTGGAGGGAGAGGCGCAGGGAGGGCAGCGAGCACCTGCGTCGCGCTGCCACCACCTCCTGCCTCCTCCACCCTCCATAGCAGTCCATCCCCCCCTGCCCAGACCTGCGCCGGCTGCCACCGGCAGCGACTCACAGTCGGTCCCATCTCAACCTCCCGGAGAGCAGATTCTTGAGCAATCTCCCTTGTACTCCCAGTGTACCGGGTCCAGCTCTGCTCAGGAGAGCAAGCTTTCAAGCTGCCACCCCTCTGGATTTGAAAACGTATTAAGAAATGGGAGCTCCGCTACCTCTTCTGAGAATTTCTCTCAAAGATCTTAAAGCGCAGGTGCCTGGTTTCTATTTTCAAAGCAATGCAATTTCAGAATTCAAGCAGCCATTCTCATTCCACCTTCCTCTGCCGGATTAAACAGCCGCTCGGCACTTGCTGTCTTGCGCACAAGGATGTATTTATTAATAAAGTCATCCTCCTCGTTTTCTTTCTGATAACCTCAGATAAGGTGCTCTGCGAGCGCCTCAGTACATGCATTTTTTAAGCCCAAATGTAATTTTTCTGCCTTTTTTCAGCATACTTCCAATTTTTCTTCAACATCGAAAATAACACAGACATCAGATGAACATCCTCCCTATCTGTGCAACATTCTAGGTAGCTCTTTTGCTCCCTAGCCCCCAAACTTTTAACTCCCTGTTCCCCTGCTTGTACTCACAATAACTTAATTAATCTTTCCATCTGTGGCTGTAAACTGAGATGCTCCTACTGAATATCTTATCTGCTGTAATCCCAGGGCCTTTTCAAAATCCTGTCTTTCCCAGGACTTAGATCCCCACGCTACTTGAGTAAGGCTGATACAGGATCTCGCACTGAACTACATCTAAGCACACGTTAGGAGGGACAAGTCTTGTCCAGCAATCCAACGGCTTTGCTTTCTATGACTGCCCTGATCTCAGCATGAGTTAGCACTTCACCAGTTTTTGTTTCATCTGCAAAATTTTATCATGCTAACCTGGACTTTATTGCCAGGTGACTGACGAAGACGTTGAACTCCTTGGGCTTAATACCGATCCCCAAGAAGCCACCTTGAAACAGTCTCTTCAGTGGCTTTTCTTTGACAAGTGCATTCTGAGATCTGCCAGCAAGACGGTTCCTAATCCACGTTATCCCTGGGTTTACTACTATGTCACAATCCTGACTTTACATGGCAGTAATTCGAGTTGGGAGAATTAGGTGAAGGCCCTGGTGACTGGAAAAAGGGAAACATTGCGCCCATGTTTAAAAAGGGTAGAAAGGAGGACCCTGCCAACTACCAACCTTTCAGTCTCACCTCTGTACCTGGGAAAATCAAGGAACAGCTCCTCCTAGAAGCTCTGCTAAGGCACACGGAGGACAGGAAGGTGATTTGAGGTGGCCAGCGTGGCCTCACCAAGGATAAGTCCCACCTGACCAAGCTGGTGGCCTTCTATGATGGAGTCACTACATCAGTGGACAAGGGAGGACCTACAGATGTCATATGTCTGGAATTCTGTAATGGTCCATGGTCTCTCCCCATTCTGCTCTCTAAAGTGGAGAGATATGGGTTTGATGGGTAGACTGTTCAGTGGATGAGGAATTGGCTGGATGGTCACATCCAGATGGTAGTGGTCAACGACTCAGTGTCCAGATGGAGACTGGTGATAAGTGGTGTCCCCAGGGGTCCATATCAGACCAGCACTGTTTAATATCTTCATCAGTCACATAGACAGTGGGATCAAGGTCACCCTCTGCAAGTTTGCAGACGACACCAAGGCAAGTGGTGTGGTTGACATGGCTGAGGGATGGGATGCCATCCAGAGGGACCTGTGGAGGCTCAAGAAGTGGGTCTGTGTGAACCTCATGAGGTTCAACAAGGCCAAGAGCAGGGTCTTGCACCTGGGTTGCGGCAACCCCCAGTATCAATCCATGCTGGGGGATGAAGGGATGGAGAGCAGCCCGGTGGAGGAGGACTTGGGCATACCAGTGGATGAAAAGCTGGACATGAGCTGGCAATGCACACTGACAGCCCAGAAACCCCCCGCACCTTGGGCTGCATCCCCAGCAGCATGGCCAGCAGGGCCAGGAGGGGATTCTGCCCCTCTGCTCCGCTCTGGGGAGACACCTCCCCAGTGCTGCCTCCAGCTCTGGGGCCACCAACAGCAGAAGGACATGGAGCTGTTGGAGTGGGGCCAGAGGAGGCCATGGAGATGCTGGGAAGGCTGGAGCCCCTCTGCTGGGAGGGGGGGCTGAGAGAGTTGGGGGGTTCAGCCTGGAGAAGAGAAGGCTCCAGGGAGACCTTAGACCCCCTTCCAGTCCCTAAAGGGGGCTTATAAGAAAGATGGGGACAAACTTTTTAGCAGGGCCTGTGGCAATAGGATGGGGGATAATGCTTTTAAACTAAAAGACGGTAGATTTAGACTAGATCTCAGGAAGAAATTTTTTACACTGAGGGTGGTGAGACATTGGCCCAGGTTGCCCAGGGAGGTGGTAGATCCCCCATCCCCGGAAACATTCAAGCCCAGGTTGGACGAGGCTCTGAGCAACCTGGTCTCGTTGAGGATGTCCCTGCAAATGACAGGGGCTTGGACCAGATGCCCTTTAAGGGTCCCTTCCAACCCAAACTATTCTGATTCGAGTCTTATGAAGTCTACAACTGTAAAAACTCTGCAGCTCTTACCCTATCAACACCATTTGTTATCTCAGTGAAGTATTACATCAAGGATTTATTGAAAAAAAAAAAAAAGAAAAGATAAAGCAACAAGCACACACAGACAAAAACCCCAAAACAAAATCAAAACACCCCCAACATAAAAACCACAAGAAAAAACCCAAACCCCAAAACCAAATGCTGCAACTGCCAGCTAATCTACCTTTAGATTCTGTAAGTTTTGTCAACTGCCCAAGGTATGTCCTGGCCTAAGATTCCCAGGTCTTCTTGGTTGCTGCTTTGTTCTTTGACACCTGTACAAAACTAATACTCTTCCGGTTGCCTTTGAATGCCAAAAACATTTCTCATATGCTGAAACTTAACATCAGGAAATTAAAAAACACCGGTCAAACGTTTAAGAGTTATTAAACATGAGGTATCCAGGCCTGCCGGCTGTAGATTTTTAGAAAGCACATCCTAGAAGACTTATGTTCCTTGGCAACACCTGGCTCAGGGGGCAGCTCTGCCCCTTTCCATCCCACCAGCAGGTGCCCACTGTGTTTTACTAGCTTGCTTGTGCTTTTGCTCGTGCCCTCGTAAGGCCACTCCATCCCCAATCACTCACACAGCACAGCTCTGCGCTGCAGTCCTGCTGGGCAGAACCTATAGCCAGGAGTGAATTACAGCCATCTTATCCCAACCAAGGAAGGGGGAAACAGAGCCAAGACAGAGATATTGGCAACTACAGCCACTAAAACTTTTGTGCTCCAGCAAAGACTTTCTTATGGACCCTCCCTGAGGCGCTTGAGGAAGGTGGAGGCTCTGCTAAAGTGTGGAACAAGGCATGAGCTCTACGGCCAAGCCCAGCACGAAGGATATTTCAGTACCTGGAATTTGGTCCAGCAGCTGGGGCTGCAGAACTGGTAGACAACCCGGTCTGTCTTGTTGTAATAGCAGGGTTCAGATAAACTCTTTCTGCAGAAGCTGCAGGGTCTAGGGGGACCTGATGAAACAGACAGGAATTGGTGAGGGCAGCAGCACAGGACGTGGGACCGGATTCTGAGGATGGCACGCAAGCTACTCACTCATCCTCAGTCTGTCAAGCTATTATCAAAAAACAAGGGACAAGACTAAGAGAACCAGGTTCTGCTAGGACAGAAATGTGGATTCCGAGGACGGCACCCAAGCTACTCACTCATCCTCAGTCTGTCAAGCTATTATCAAAAAACAAGGGACAAGAACACCAGGAAACTAAGAGCACCAGGTTCTGCTAGGACAAAAACGTTAAACACGGATGAAGAGCAGAGCGGCTCAAAGAAGTGACCCTGGCTTTACAGGAATTTGGACAAAACAGGCTGCAGTACTTGCACCAGAGACCATACCCATTCCTGGACATCCTGGTACTCTCTGTAATGGGAAAGGTGATGCCAGCACAGAACTACTTTCTGCATTCTCAAATACAGCAATGTACACTACCCCTCAGTATAAAGATGTCTACATGCTGCAAGGGTTCCTCCCTCTCCAAATCTCCCTCCACGTGTCTCACTGGACTCCTCCCCAGGCAAACAACATGCCTTCTTTCCGGTCTCATCCACAAACAATAAAGAGTACCAAGGAAGAAGTTAGAATGGAGAGGCAACTGATTCCCTGCGCGTATGTGCTCTTACCAACCAAGCCTGACTGCTTCACTTTGTGGGAGGTAGTGCAGCAAATGGAGCAGAAGAGGCCCATCTTGCCGCTGCGGTCCACATTAGGCAGCATGTCGAAGTTCTTACACAGTGTCTTGCACCACATGCACGGGTAGACCCGAGTGTTCTTCTGCAAACACAGAGCAGAACAGAGCTGCTGGGGAGACCGTCACAGCCAGCGAGGTCCGACCCTCCTCTTCCACCCCACTACCGTATCCACCACAGGGCAGGTCTTCTGCAGGAACGCCTGGTGCCAGAGCCAGGCTCACAGTCTGCAGGTTCAGGTGGTGGTAGCAAAAAAGGTTGCCTTCAGCACCTCACTGGCTCATTCCAAGGGCCCCCTGGCAGGAACACAGAGCCTGGCAATCCCATCAAGACAGTTAAGCGAAGCCTGCTCAGGTGTCAGAGGAACACACCCAGCCAAGGTTTGAGGAGACATCCAAAGGAAGCCAGGCCCATGCTAACTGCAAACACCAGAGCTGCTGCACAGTCCAGCTCAGGGAGTGCCTGACCCGTGCTCAGGTCCAAGATGGACCCCCACGCAGAATAAATAAATAAATTCTATTTGCCTGCTTCAAAGCTTTTCCACAGCAATCTCTTAAATGTTTTGTCAGCAATAACAGGCCAAGGGGATTCAAGTCACCTGCTACTGCACAAAGTGCCCCGTGCCACACCGGGCAAAGGAGCTGCGTGCCCACGGAGACCTCCCACCCCATGCAGCCGACTCCACACACCTTCTTGTAACTGTTGAGACAGGCGGAGTTGCAGAAGCGTTTTTGCTGGCCTTCGTGGAAGAGGTACTCCAGGGGCAAGCCCTTGTTGTAGATGTAAAGTCCGCAGTTGTCACAGCAGTTGGTTTTCAGCCCCTTGGTGGCCCGGAACTTGGTGAAGCAGGCGTCGCTGCAGATGCGGTGAACCACGTTCCCATTGCTGACCTCGTGCTGGATCTGCAAAGACATCATGGCCATCACTCTCCCTCTAACCACCACGTGCCTCCTCCTGCCACGCGTGCACCAGTGCCACCCTTGGGATAGCAGGCTGTGACACTAACACTCGGGCAAATGCTGCACTGGAAGCTGGTGTGGACTCGGGCTGGCCTCCCTCACCAGAAGTCAGCCGAGCAATTCGGAGAGTGGGGTGGCAGGAAATGCTGAGCTTCAGGGCAGGGAGAAACAGAAGCCTAATTTTTTTTCAGCTGGAATAAGGGCTGCTTCACAGCAACAAGGCAGGACCTGGGAGTGAGCCCAAGCCAGCTCAGCGCCTCGTGCCACCGGAGAGCCCAGCAAATGCCCTCTGATCGTCTCGGGAAGGGCCAAGTGCTACAGGTCACAAGCACCTCATCCAGGACACGGGAAGCACAAGGGATTTATTTACCTCGCCAGGTTTGTGGCAGACGCTGCAGCGGGTGATGTCCGAGGCATCTGCGGACTGAGGTGGTGGTCTGTGCTGCTGGGCCTCGTAGAGGGAGAGGCAGACGGAGGTGCAGAACTCATGGAAAGAGCCGCTTGAACCGATTTGGGCAACCACAGAGTCCTTGGTGTTCCAGATCTCCCTGGGGATCAGGAGGGCATGCGTTAGGGCAGGGACACACCAGTCCTGCCCCAAAGGGCCAGGATGGCACGCTGCAATGTCATCCAATGGGACTTTCTGTTGTCCCAAAAGGGTGGCAAGAACTGTCTCACAGCAGCTTCTGTCCCAGCCCAGAGGGGTGGTGCCTGGAGACCGAACATGGGAAGTTGTTTTGAAAGGAGGTGGGGATATGGGGCATTGAGCCTGGGGACAGGCATGATAACGTGAAGGGGGTGTAGGGAGCATGAGATGTGTGGTGTGTGAAGGAAGACACGGGGCAGCAGCTGGCAGCGGGCAGGAGTGATGTGGGTGCATAGGAAGCTCGAGGGACACAGGGACGGTGACTGGCCATCAGGGCTGTGGGGCAGGTGAATGGGGTCACAAGCGCAGGAGCATTGAGGACAGGGGAATGGACACACACTTTTTACAGAAGGTGCATATCTTCTTGCCGGGTGGTTTTTTTGAGAAGGCGGTGAGACAGGAGCTGGAGCAGAAGAGCTGAGGGAGCCCTTTACGCTGGTAGGCGGTCTGGCCCTTCTGCAGCGGGGTCCGGCAGTTGGCACAAGTCATCTTGGTGACAGTAGAGCGGGCAGCTCGCTGAGCCATCTGAGCGCGTAAAGACATGCGAGTTGAGCGTCGGGTACGGAAAGGAACAAAATCCTCATCATTGGGATCATCCACCATTGCATCAGAGTCTTCATCAGAGACTGGAACTGCAAAGCAGCAGAGAAAGATGCACAGAAATCCCACATTAGGAACTGAGACAGAAACCTCTGCCACAAGACACATGCTGGGGCTTTCTGGGGTCACCTTTCTGGAGTCCCTCTGCATGCCTTGTACCTGCCTGGGTGGAATGATAAAGGGACCCTTAAAAGATACACTGTTGGAACTGGAGATGAGTCAGGAGGTCTTTAAGCAAACTGGGCTTAAGTAGGCTTCTCTAGGAAGTCATGATTTGCCAAGGTTAAGCAAAAGCTGAAAGTGCAAACATTTACAGCAGAAATCCCTCCAAGAACTGGTAGACCTTAAAGAGAAGAAGCTGGATCACCAGCCTCCAGCACAGGCAGGCCATGAAGGAGCAACACACAAACACTAGGGAATAGCAGGGTGACACTCAACATCTCAAAGAACAGAGGCTTCATGTACTTCTGCAGGAAAACCCCCAAAATGCAACCGTTCTTCAGCCAGCCTGCTGCCAGGGAGACCAAGGAAGAAAGTCCCTGGCTGAGGAGATGGATTTCCTGGGAACAACCCCAGAGTCTCATCCTATTACTTGCTGCTTGGTGACCACACACCACTGTAAAAATACTACAACCCTCTTTTCGACGTAAGTGCCCTGAGAAAGCAAGGCAAGTACTCCAGGATGAAAACTCAAGGGGTGAAGGGACCTGTCCTGTGTAGGAGGAAAGTCTGCACAGAAGCTTCAGCGCTCCCACCGTACTCACACCATGAACCCCCTGCCCACGAGGGCCCTGCCCTCGGGCTGAAACTGGGCATTGGCCAGCCCTAGTTACTCACTGCTCTCAGAGGAGTTCACAGTTTCAGGCCTAGCAGTTTCTGATCTTCTGGCTCGTTCACTTCTTTTCTGCTCCTAGAAGACATTCAGAAAATACTTATGCTAACCATCTGCTAGGATAACCATGGATAAATACCCCCGATCATGGTGGAGCTCCAACTTCTGGCATTTGCTTTCCCAATAACTAGGCTGAAAAATGTCTGTAATTCCATGGATACCTGACCAGAGTTGGCAAGATGGGGGGAAAGGGGAGAATGCCATCCCAGCTGAGGGTAGCAGTGAAGCCACATTACAGCCCAGTGGCAGTGCACAGGGATCACTCTGTCCCAGGAGACGTGCAAATTCCTTCCCAAAGGGGTGACGAGACAGCCGGTGTCCCTCATGGAGTCTGACAACAGCCAGCCACCCTCTGTGCTCCCACAGCATACAGCCTTGACTGCATTCTCCTCACCTTCTCAGCTGGCAGCTCACTCCCCTTCCCAGACAGGCCTTCTCCTGGAATAGAAGCACAGAAGAAGCTTGCATCTAAAATCTTGCTTTTCTCCAACAGAAGACAAGTGTTCTTCAAATGCAGCCACCCTTTGGGACAGTCTGCACGTGAAGCCTCAGACAGCCCTGGCCGTGATCAGACCCAGGAAAACTCCTAAACCCATCACCTGTAGTTAGAGATCCACACATGCAGCCTGGGATGTAAGGGGGAGGGAGACCTCCCTGCATGGGGGAGGCACGCTGGGCAGTTGCCTGCCAACTGCTTCTGACCAAGGCTGAGCATCTCCTGAGGATGGCCAGCCTGGGCAGAGGGACTTTGCCTAGTGGAAGCACTTTCTCCTGGTGACCCTCAATTCCAGCAAAGACTCCAGTGATGAAGAATGTGAGCTAAGCTGATGTGCAACCACAGCTTTACCAGGGAAGCTCCTAGCTGACACAAGCACCAAAAGTCAAAGTTAAAGCTATGAAAGCCAATGCAAGAGCTTGTATGCACCAAGGGAGCAGCTTCCAGAGTGTTATTCCCTGTAAGCAAGACGCTTTCCCCAAATCTAGCCCATCAGTAGCATTGGCAATTTCCATAGCAGGGGAGGATGGGAAAAGCTGGAGCACAAAACAGACTCCAGCTTCTGCAATGGACAGCAGGATGATCTCCTGAGCAAAAGGAAGCCAAGTTCTGCAGAGATAACAACCTACCTGCTGGCGGTGAGGCTTCCTGTGCTGTCAGTACACTACTTTCTTTAATTGAGTTGTTCCCACTATCATCCCCTTCCTCTGCCTGGTTTTCCTCTCTGGGCCCAGGGGGCAAAACTGCAGTACTGTTGTCCAGGCTCAGTTCCACCTCGGCTTCCCCTGCCAGCCCTTCCCTCTGCATGGGTGAGCTTTTCCTCGGTGCCTTCAACCTCGTCTTCTTTGTCTGTTTAAGGTTGAGCTGTGGGGGAGCCATTGGAGGACTTGAGGGTTGTGCGGTGATCTCTTCCGTGGCTGAGGCACTGCTGAGGTCCCCAGGGTCAGGAACGGGGTGTCGGGGCGATTCAGGGGCGTTGTCATCAGACAGTGCAGGAATAGCAGCAGCACCATCTTCCTTCAGGTCCCCAGAATCATTTTTTGATGCATCTTCCCCTTCTTTCCACGCTTCTGGAACAAGGGCTTCTCTAGAGAGGGCAGAGGAGTCCGCTGGTCCATCCTCCACGTCCTGGGAAGGATGCGCCTTATACAGCCCATCCAGACCCTCCGTTTTATCTAGCTCCATCAGGTTAGCAGTTTTATCCAAGTCATCTAAGACGTTAGGTTTCTCCAGCATATCCAAGACACCAGGTTTATCTAGAACGAGGTCATTCGATTTGTTTAGTTCAGACAGGCTGTCTGCTTTCACTAGAAGGTCCAAGTTCCCATGTGCAGTCATCTGCTTGGATTGATCCCAGTCAGGGGGCTGAAGAACTGAAACTTCCTGGGTAGAAGCTGTTTGGGAGCCCAGGAGATCTTCTCCAAACTCCATGTCAGAGGGGAGGTCACCAATAAGTGGTTTGTCAGGCAAGGACAGGGGGTCCAAAGATCCCGAAAATTCACTGGAATCCATTTAGAAGATGACAACTGGAAATGAGAGGGAGACTTGCAAGTTAATGAAAAGTAGACGAACACAGCACATGAATGGTCCACTCTCCTGCACGCTGTCAGAGTAAATCAAGGCCCAGTAATACTGCTAGCCATAACCAGCATCCCAGCAGAGCACTCACTTCTCCTCGTGTGGTTACAAAACTCTGAAGCCAAACAGCAGCAGCGGGACACAGCAGCTGGGTACAGCAGAGCTTTGGGAGCTCCACAGCCTCCACACACCTCACCACAGCACGGCCAACAGACTTGCTAACGCTAAATGACACAGCGGGGTATCAGAAATGATTCGAGTACCAGTTCGGGAGGCTTCACAGCTGTTCTGTGGTACGTAATGCCCCCTCTCCCTGCCTTCCCCCATATCTCACCAGACTCAAATAATCCGCTCTGTCCTTTCTCCTGAGCTGTTCTCATGGAGCTGACACATACTTTATTTTGAAAATATCTTTTCTCTTCAACACAGAGACAGAAAGAACTCCTCTACAGCTCTGCAGCCTGTGCCTTGAACAAGATACAAGATGACAAGATGCATGAATTTTTGTCAGAGGACAGATATAAACCACGTTATAGTATAACGACAGCTACCGAATAGCCCCAAAACCACACGGGCTAATATTCAGACACAGATTGGGATACACGTAAGTTAGAACTAAGGAGGAAGAAAGGTGGTAAAATCCATGATGTTAAAGGTGATCATTAGAGGAAGAACAAGCCGCAAAGGAGACACGAGTGTGAGGTGCAGAGTCAGAGGAGACCAGGGTGACTCTGTGGGGCACAGGACGGTGCGATGCTGATGGTTAACATCAGAGGGACGGAGCTACAGCCCAGCTTCTCACACTTGAGACTATATCCTAAGACAGAAAGGGCAAGGTTTTGAGATGAGGCAAGTAAGCATTTGCATCAACATTGGCTAAAAATTAATTATACCCCCCCCAAAAGAGATAATGGTTGACAAACTTGAAGAGGGAAAGGGAGAAGAAGCTGGAGTCTACAACTGGTGAGGCAGAATAAGACCTGAAGCAGGCTCACGCCCCCAAAACAGGCTGTAAGTAGACACTACAAGGAAGGCACTAGAGTCAAAAGAAGTTGACTCAACCTATTTCTCCCTATTCGAGTCACTCTAATTTTAATTTTGGCACTGTTTTAAGCCCTGAAGCAGAAGATTCGGCATTCCTGTCTATTGTGACTTACTGTGGGCATAACTCATCTGTATTGATGAAGGAGGAAGCCTGAAATAATTTCACTGGTGATGTCCGATTAATTCTTTCTTTATATCCTTCCCTCTGAAAGGATAACCAAGTCTCACAAATGGTTTACTCAGAACTAAACAGGACATGTTTGGACAGAGAATGTACCCAAATTCTGAAACTCATTTAAGCAGGAGTTCAGGGAATCATACCCTATAGCTGGAGATCAAAGTCATTGCCTCCTTATCTTATCTAAAACACAGCAATGTGTTCTGTTCCATAGTGGCAGATCAGCACTGTTCCCAGAGTCACAAACAGAAACTACAGAAGATGTAATCTTCAAAGATGCTCACCAATATCCACCACTAAATACTCTGGCGATTCCATTCACATTCTTTAGTTAGAGAGGAGACAAATCTTCTAGAATAAGACAATTCCAGAGCAATATGGGATCTAATATCTGTTTTGGGATGGCTAACAGAAAGAAGAACAAAGGGAAGAAATAAAGACATCGGAAAGAGAACTCCTAAGGATTTGAAGCAGGTGAGATCCCTCTCAAGATGATACATACATTTTTCTGCTGCTCAGATACAAAAAATGCCTCCTTCTCAAAGATGTCCCCCACCCAGGTTTCCAGCCAGACAGCAGACCTTACAACAATAAGCAGCAGAGAGGTGAAGCCACCCAGATGAATAAGGGAAGTATATTTGTAGGTATGGGTAACAACTGCACTAACATACTCCTCAAATTCACCTTCAGACACTGCAATGAACCACAGAGGTGATGCTCCTACAGTACGTGCCGCTTTCAGCTGGCCTAGTCTTTACTTTGTAGAAAGAGACCCTGGGAACCATCCTGGAGCATCAGAAATCCATTTGGGCATCATCTCCCAGAGGATAATGCAAGCAACAATTAATCTACAAACTTGCCATGCTGCTCACGTGCTCTACAAATAGACCAAAAGCATCTAGTTTTGATAGCGTGTACCTTAACGTTGCTTTCATGCATTGGGCACAAAAGCATTCCAATGCAAGACAAGGCTCTGACAAACGCAACGGTGACAACATTGACCAACAAAACAGTCTTCAAGAGAACAAGTATTCTGCAGATTAAGTCCACCAGGAACATGGAATCACAGAACTGTCAGAGTTGGAAGGGACCTCTAGAGACCATCCAGTCCAACTCCCCTGCCAAAGCAGGGCTGCCCAGAGCACATCACTCAGGAGCATCCAGGCGGGGCTTGAAGATCTCCAGAGAAGGGGACTCCACACCCTCCCTGGGCAGCCTCTGCCAGGGCTCTGCCACCCTCACCCCAAACAAGTTCTTCCTCACATCCCAGTGGAACTTCCCATGGTCCAGCTTGTGCCCGTTGCCCCTCGTCCTGTCACTGGGAACCACTGGAAAGAGTCCGGCTCCATCCTCCTCCAACCCACCCTTTAGACACTTGTCAGCATTGATAAGGTCTCCCCTCAGCCTTCTCTTCTCCAGGCTCAAGAGCCCCAGCTCTCTCAGCCTTTCCTCATCAGGGAGATGCTCCAAGCCCTCCATCATCTCTGTTGCCCTACGCTGGACTCTCTCCAGCAGTTCCCTGTCTCTCTTGAACTGGGGAGCCCAGCACTGGACGCAGGATTCCAGTTGTGGCCTCCCCAGTGCAGAGCAGAGGGGGAGAATGACCTTCCTCCACCTCCTGGCCACACTCTTCCCTCTGCAGCCCAGGATCCCATTGGCCTCTTGGCTACAAGGGCCCATTGCTGGCTCATGGAGAGTTTACTGTCCACCAGGACCCCCAGATCCTTCTCCTCAGAAGTGCTTTCCAGCAGGTCCACCCCTGACTGATACTGGTGCCTGGGGTTCTTCTTCCCCAGGTGCAGGACCCTACATTTGCCCTTGTTGACCCTCATGAGCTTCTCCTCTGCCCAGCTCTCCAGCCTGTCCAGGCCACGCTGGATGGTGGCACAGCCCTCTGCAGTGTTGGCCAGTCCTCCCAGTTTGATATCGTTAGTGAACTTGCTGAGGATACATTCTGTGCCCTTGTCCAGGTCATTGATGAATACGTTGAACAGATACGCAGACCTTTCTGCAGGCCCAAGGGTCCGCAGTAAGACCACTCACTCTGGTTGGAAGCACCGCGCTTGCCCTGTACGTTCCAGGTCCTGTCCAAATTCCCCCGGCAGAACAGCTCACACATTCTGACAAACAACCCAACATTTCTTAGGATGCACAAAGCTATGGACGCTGCAGTCAGACAAACAAGAGACCACCTATTGAAGTATCCTGTCCCTGTTCACACCAAGAACGGATACCTGGGGAAAGAGCATAAGAAACATAACTAACAGGACACTCCTCTTTAGCACATTCTCTGATCAACCTTCAATCTCTTCAGCAACCAGCTGCTGAAGAACCGCTTGGCTTCAGTAGCACTGAGACTGTCACTGTTAAGAGTCATAGAATCATAGAATTGTCTGGGTTGGAAAGGACCTTTAAGATCATCTAGTCCATCCATCAACCTGACAAAACCCATCACTACCCCATGTCTCTAAGCACTATGTCAACCCGGCTGTTAAATCCCTCCAGGGATGGTGCCTCAGCCACTTCCCTGGGCAGCCCATTCCAAGGCTTCATAACCCTTTCTGTGTCAAAATTGTTCCCAATATCCAATCGGAACCTCCCCTGGGGCAACTTGAGGCCGTTTCCTCTTGTCCCATCCCCTGTTCCTTGGGAGAAGAGATCGACCCCCCCTGGCTACACCCTCCTTTCAGGGAGTTGGAGAGAGCGAGAAGGTCTCCCCTCAGCCTCCTTTTCTGCAGGCTGAACACCCCCAGCTCCCTCAGCCTCTCCTCACAAGACTTAAACCCTCTACGGGTCTGCCTGATCCCCCTTTGAACCAATTTATACTTTGGGCCTCCAAAAATTCCAGTAGCAATACATCCTGCAGCCCAGCGTTAAGTTTTTAAAAGTATTTTTTCTTTTTGTTTATTTTAAACCTGCTGCATCAGAGCTCTGGGACAAGACGGCACAGAGCTGATGAGTGCTGACTTTTGATGTATTTATAAAAATCTGGAAAAGCCAATGGAGCTAGAGTTGAGGCTGGACCCAAGGAGGTGATGCTGACAGCCTGAGTGGGAAAGCAAGGAATGTCCTTGCCCATCACTGCCATTCTGTTTCTCTGACAATGAATTCTTCACAGTGGTTTTCAACTGCCAGCTGATAAGGATGGAGAGGGCAGCCCTCAGACCAGGAGAGAACGATGCAAAGGTGGAGAGCACCTCTGAGGAGAAAGACCTGGGAGTCCTGGTGGACAACAGGATGCCCATGAGCCAGCAATGGGCCCTGGTGGCCAAGAAGGCCAATGGCCTCCTGGGGGGCATCAGGAAGAGTGTGACCAGCAGGTGGAGGGAGGTCATCCTGCCCCTCTGCTCTGCCCTGGGGAGGCCCCATCTGGAGCACTGGGACCAGTTCTGGGCTCCCCAGTTCCAGAAGGACAGGGAACTGCTGGAGAGGGGACAGCAGAGGCTACAAAGATGATGAGGGGCCTGGAGCATCTCTCAGCTGAGGGACTTGGGTGTTTTTAGTCTGGAGAAGAGAAGGCTGAGGGGGGATCTGATCAACACCTATAAATACTTAAAGGGTGGGTGTCAGGAGGATGCAGCCCGTCTTTTTTTGTTGGTGCCCAGTGACAGGACAAGAGGCAATGGGCACAAACTTGAACATAAGAAGTTCCACCTAAACATGAGGACGAACTTCCTTCCTGTGAGGGTGGCAGAGCCCTGGAAGAGGCTGCCCAGGGAGGTGGTGGAGTCTCCTTCTCTGGAGACATTCAAACCCACCTGGACACGTTCCTGTGCAACCTGCTCTGGGTGGACCTGCTCTGGCAGGGCGTTGGACTGGATGATCTCCAGAGGTCCCGTCCAACCCCATGTGATTCTGTGATTCCAGCTCCATGGGTGGCTCTGAAGTCAAACACAACCTGGGGAAATCAGAGCTGCCCAGCTGAAGCAGGGTAAGAAACGCTACTTCTCCTGCTCGCCCCGGGCGTTCAGATTCACCTGGGCTTTACGCTGAGCTCCACTGTGAGTCAGGCTGTGAACAGAACACACACTTTACCTCTGGTAGAGTCTCTTCTAGCTTTGCTCCAACAGAAGAAAAATAGCTTATTGTTTCTGGCAGATGCTGAAATGATCCAACACAACTCATCTGTTTTTATTCCAGGAGCATCTAATGCACAGCTCCGTCGCTGGGCTCTGGTCACGCTCCCCAGGTGTGCAGGACTGGCACAGAACACAACATTGACCTCCAAATCCAAAACGTGTGACTACAGACTTGACCTGCCCTTTCTGCCAAAGAGGGGGCACGTGGACCTCCTCTCAGACCTGGAAGTTCAAAGCGAGACACCTCTGCCAGGACACTCCAAGTGACTACCTGGGACTTCACCTAGCTTTACTAAAGGCACTGGTGGTGCTGCTGTAGCTGCATAGTTCTTAGACATCTCAGCGTCCTCAGATAACCATTAGGAGGGGAATACATGGCCTACCTACAAAAATGAGGAGCTACATTTAATTAAAAGCAGACAGTAAGAAAAAATACTGTTGTTACTCCCTCATGATGAAGTGAATACCTCCAAAATCTCTACTGCCCACAAAAGAGCACGGCCACGCAGTTACCGCTTTCCTCTTGCAAAGGAACAGCAACTGCTGTCCTAGGCTTTCGATCATGGATAAGGATCCAGATTTTCAAGAGTCTTGAAGGCTGAAGGACTTACCTTGTTCACTATTAGAGATCATTTGGAGTATGAAAAGCATTAACTAATAATCACAAGAACTAAGACACTTAAATCAACATTCCAGGTAATTCCTACCTCCAAGTTCTGTAAGAACCACAACACCTGAGCAGAGCTCTGGAGGAAGTTCCTGGTTTTTGTGTCAAATGTTAGACTAAACAATAACACCCAACCTAGCGTTTCTTGACAAAACCAACCTGTAGCAATTACATAGTTCTACCAATAAAACAGCAGGAAAATAATATCATGTCCTACCAGCCAGGTTTCAGTCAACAGGTCTTCATTAACGACATTATAATTTGAGTGACAAATATGGCAAAAGCTAACTTCATTGCTGTGATTCTCTGAGTTTGTCCAGGCAGTTCACAGCTTCCCAGATTCAAGCACTGCAAACATTTTATTACAGATTGGTTAACTCATTTTAAAGCAAATTAATTAACGAAGAGTCACCGGTAAACTAAGCACACTGCTAAGGTCCAGGCTGCAGTCCAGTCAAAATTCTCCAGAAAGGAGCGAAAGGGATTGTGTTATTCAGCAGCGTTTTTGGAGAGGCAGCTCTCTGAGCTCCGTCCTGCCAGCCCAGACTCGAGTCTCGGGCACAAAGTCCACTGGTGACATTCAGCACAGCGCTGCTTGCACACAGTACCACATCAGACCATCACCGTCCCAGTCTTGGCTAGTGTCTACACTTGATGACAGACACTGGAAGAGCTGAGATGTTTCAAATGAAAAAAAAATAAAATTAAATATCTGACACAGTAATTCAAAAATCTCACTGTTTGAAGAACCAACCATTGTTCAGAAAACACCTTCCAGCGATAAACCTGTTCTGTCCATTGAAAAGAGATGGAGAGGCACAACCCATCTCAAAAAAACCCCACAAGGTAAGAAGGTCTATAGCAGAGGACTGTTCAGAGATACAGACAAAGGCACACCAGGAACTCGAAAAGCTGGAAGTCAAGGTTGGACAAAGACAGAAACTGCTATTTCCAGATTACCGTACTAGGGGTGATTACTGAGACAACCGACCCAGGGATATATAAATCCTCTGCGACTTGGAGATTTTACAACAGCATTCAGTGACTCTCCCAGACAGCTACAGCTACTGCAGATCCCACTGGTCAAGTTCTTCAGCTTGTTCTTCTTCAGAGTCTCCATCTCTGGAGATGTTCAAAACCCACCTGGACACGTTCCTGTGCAACCTGCTCTGGGTGGACCTGCTCTGGCAGGGGGTTGGACTAGATGATATCCAGAGGTCCCTTCCAACCCCATAGCATTCTGTGATTCTGTGCTTTGCAGGCAGGGCTCGGTGAACCGTTGTCTCTTCTCATCTCCAAATGTATTACTGGTTCTCTCAGTTGGAGTACAAACAGCAGTAGCTGTCACCATGTCCCCTTCAGGTCAGTCTTCACATGC